TTAATGACAGATTACATTCAGGCGCTTTTCATTATTCAATGAGGAACCGCAAACATATACAGATATAAGAAGCCATTAACCCGTAGAGTTGAATGATGTTGATAAGACAATAGTACCTTATTCCTCGCAGAAAAACCAGGACAATGGAGATATAGTTCGATTGAAATTTCGGCACCATGTCTCTATTGAAACAATAGCAGAAGTTTGCTACTGCTCTTGTTTTTTAATTGCTATTGCTGTTGCAATTTGAAGGTTGCTGCTGCTATCGTTTCGATAAAGTACCTTGCCGAAATATCAACCGAACTATATCCCCATTGTCCAGGTTTTTCTCCGAGGAATAAGGCCAATCCTCTGTCTTATCTATGTGAGTAATGTTCCTCGCTAATGCACTTAACAACACGGAATTCTGAATGATGTTGAATGATGATGAAATCATTTTAAAAATGTTCAGAAAACAAATGCTGGTTATTAGGCACAAATCCACAGCGTACGTTCAGGCCGACGCAATACCTACCCGCTGTGAGCATGACATAAGGTTCGCATGCAGCTATATGTGAGTGTCATGAAACGTGTCTTTGTTTTAAAAATATAGTATAATAGTCACACATGACATGAGAAAGAAGCCATCACATTTGGGACGGGGAAATCAATCACATTGTGCCTTTTGGGCTGTTAACGTACAAACGTGGGATCTCTACGTTGCATGGCACTCCGCCCCCACCCACCCCACCCCCTTCCAAAATTTTTGACATTTACCCCATGGCAACCAATGAAAACTTAAATGCAAAATGAGTATGGGTGACACCTTTTTTTGAGCCGTTCCTCTGCCTGGGTCTCGGCACGCAGCGCCAGTCCACATATTACCTTTCCAGCCAAGCACTTCCATTTACCTTCCGGCCGTCTGATGTGAAATCTCGAATTTCACTGCATGGCATAGCTGTTCCGCATTTATAAACTACTGCAAGGTGCTCCAGATGATTCCTGGACACAACGTCATTGAGCTAAGCCCACTTCGAGTTACCAATAGGGCCGGCGATAGCCATGAGCGGACTCTTTACGTTTCGGCCGCCAGCACCATCTACCCATTTCTAACGTGTCAGTATGGTTTCGATCGGTGCAACGACTCGTGGACATTATTATAAAGCTGTAAAGAGTCTGTTAAAAATGGCATCTGAAATATTCTAGCCCCGGGAAGCTCTCCACGGGCAGTACCACGGCCTCCAGGTCAAATAACCAGAGCCTGCGTTAAAGTCTACGCAATACCAACACGAGCCTTCGAGCGTGAAACACGGTGGGTCTGCGGCTAACTATATTTACCATGAAAGGTATGTTTACCTGAAAAATCAAGTCCAACGGTCACATATGACACGTTGAAGCGAAGCACACATTCCAACGAGCGCACAAGAGAAGCAGAGTTAACAATGTGGCCGGTGATAGGTATGAGCGGACTCTACGATTCGGCCGTCAGCATTATCTGCCGATTTCAAGCGCGTCAGTTTAGTTTTCATTAATGAAATCACTTGCCGACACTATTCCAAAACTGTCTGAATGATAATTCATATATTCTTCTTGGCGGGTTATTCCCGGGGACCAGCGCTGCTGCTAACTGAGCAAATAGGAGCAGCGTGCCATGTGCCCAGTCGTCCGACGAAACACCAAACAGCCTGCCAGCCGACACTCGCTTGTTTTCGCTATACAGTGTACCATAGAACGTGTGTCCATCTGAACATTCAGGTATCATGGTCAGGACCCTGAAAGTATTGTAGCCGCGATGGATTATTCCTCGGGGCCCACCATGACCTGTTGGGCACAAAGCCGCAGAGTGCGTTAAGGCCAACGCAATACCTAACCGCCTGCAAGCCTGATACGAGGCTTGTATGCGGTTATGTGTATATACCATAAAACGCGTTGGTCACACATTACAAAACGGAGAAAATGCTACGTCAGTACAGGAAAATGAATACGGAGTTCCACTTCCGACTGGCAGCGCCCGTCGCCAAATCACAATTTTGAACCAATACTCATTTCCATTACGACTGCCTGCCATGAAATGTCCAATTTGACTCCATGACCGAACTTTGCTATATTTAGAAAGTATTGCAAATCCAAGTGATTCGTGAATAAACTTGCATTGAAATCTGTCCACTCGATGTTACCAATAGTGACCGTTGATAGACATAAGCGGACTCTTCACGCTTCGGCCGCTACCATTGTCTGGCCATTTCAAACGTGCCAGCATAGTTTAAATCGATGATATCACTAGCAACATCATTTTAAAACTATGCATACAATTCCGCTATCATCATGGAGACAGTGGACCCATCCTTCCTGAACAAAATGTTATTCGGGTGTACCCACTCGGAGTTACCAATAGGGCCGATGCCAAGCGTAAAGCGAACTCTTTACGTTTCGGCCGCCAGTATCATTTGTCCATTTCAAACGTGTCAATATGGCTTCCATCGGTGCAACGACTAGCTGACATCATTCTAAAGCTGTTTAAAAAGGGCATCTCAAATATTCTAGGCTCGGTTAGCTTTTCACGGGCAGCACCACGGTCTACTGGGCACATAGCCAGGGCTTGCGTTCAGGCCTGAACAATACCCACACGCCTGCGAGCGAGAAACACGGTGTGCATGCGGCTAAATGTGCATGTCATGAAAGGTACGTTTACCTGAAGAATCAAGTCCAACGGTCGCACATGACACGTGGAAAAGCGGTACTTATCCCAACCAGCACACGATGCAACAAGAGTTACCAATAGGGCCGGTGATAGGCTTAAAACACAGCTCTTTACGTGTTGGCCGACAGCATGGTCTGCCCATATCAAACACTTTTTTAAAATGGTGTTGCTGATAGTTGCATCGATTGAAAGTAAATTGGCACGTTTGAAATGGGTGTATAACGCTGACGGCCGAAAGGTAAAAATTACGATTATGCGCATCAACGGCCATACTATTGACTCGAAGTGGACTCACCTAAAAGGCATTTTGTTCAGGAATAATTTCGAACACTTTGCAGTCGTTTCCAAACGCAGCAAAGCAACGCCACGTGTTGCAATTGGAGAGTTCATAGCAGACGGCCGGAAGGTAAATTAAAGAGTTCGGCTGCGAATGTAATACAAAATCTGGCGCTGGCACCCGAAACATAGACGGAGGAACGTCTCAGAAAGTAAGGGAGCTCATAGTCATATTGTAGTCGATTCTTCCCATCCATTGTCATAACGTTAATGCTCTACATACATTCTCAGACAGTGTCTAATGGTGAGGGTGCCATAACACTCACGGAGCCCGCGTTTCAAGTCTAGGAGAAACCATTGCCGTCTAAACCGTGTCAAAATGATGTCCACCACTGGTTGCACCGATGGACGCTATTTTGGAAAGTTTGTTAAAGACCGTTAATGCCGGTAACCGAAAACGTTGAGCCAGTTCATGTCTTTTTCCGGCCCCATTGGCAGCTCAGTGTGGACATGCCTGAATGCGGTTTGTTCATGGATTACTTGGACCTTCTTGCAGTAGTTTCTTGAGGAAGCCTGCTGGGAAAGGTGGTTTTCAGTCATTATCAGGTTCCACAGCGATACGAAACGAAGACCATAACTCGTGTCACGTGACGTCATGAGCAGAAGGTAAAACGCAGCCTACTTTTTCTTCATTTAGTTTCAAATGGCACAGGAATGTAAACCACGAGTACATAGGTAGATGCACGTACACCATAACAATCTCCCGGAACGTCGTGAGCAGCGGGAAAATACAGCCCGAAAAACGTGTCCCACTGATAGTTTTCAACTGATGACCGATTCATTCGTACCAGTGACGTCATCAGTGGGATGAAGGACACGTGTTAATACGAATACCTGCTTGGTTTTCAATGTTGTCATCATACGTGGCTTGTGAATCCTTGTGATATTGTGAGAAGTAAAAGAAGTTCGTTTTTTACATTTCTACCAGTGGCGTCATCAGTAGCACAATACTTGTCATTGAGATGATTTACCCAGCCTGGCAGCGACGTTTCGTCAGCTGATTAGCCGGCCCCTGTTACAGACCTAAGCCGACGCTCTTCCCTCCGCAAACATTGTCGGCCGGAAGGAAAAAAACACCGATGTTAGTACATGTATGTTTCAGGAACACATGGAAAGATCAGGCAGCTCATGCACGTGCTGGGCATGTACCTGGTGCCCTGCCAGTGGTAGTCATTGAGTGTTTTGTCTGGCCTGTTGGCTGATAATTATCTACAGTAAGAAAACAGCAAATAGGAATGCTGCTTGGTATGCTGAAGGCTTTCTCATACCTAAAGCAGAATCTATCATTATGTGGTTCACATCAGATGTTTGCATGCAGGAAGTGATATGTTGGATTTTTACCTTTAAACTTTTGTTTCAAGGGTTGTGATCCAACTGACCTGAAGTTATCCCAAATGTGACATGTTTCGAACCGGTCAGGGTGTACTTTCCTACCTAACGTTATAAAAAATCATTGTACACCATTCGTCATGTTTAAGGCAGGACATATCGTAAATAATCACAAAACAGGTAGAATCACGCTCCTACCTTCGAATTTCAATAACTTCGATGGCGGGCTCCCAAGCGCCGCGCGCACCGCACCGCCTGGACTCCCCAGCGCCGTTTCTGCGTTGCCGTTGCGTAAATACAATATTTCTGCTTACTAAGAACTCTACAAAATGTACGGGACCAAGGTAAACCATTCGTCGTGTTTAAGGCGGAACATATCGTAAATAATCACAAAACAGGTAGATTCATGATCTTACCTTCAATTTTTTATAATTTCGATGGCGAGCTCCCGAGCGCCGCACACACAGCACCCGCGACACCGGCGCCATTACTGCGCGGGTCACAACATTACTGCGCATCATGCAGCATCAAGAACCACAAAAATGTACCGGGCCAAGGTAACAAGAATCCATGAAATTTCTGAAATTCTGGCCACGGTTGATGATGTCACGGCCTGGAGTACCATATTTGCAATGAGCTTGCCCTCTCCACGCAGGTGACGGAGGAGACGCTGAGGGAGGCATTCAGTGCCAAGGGTTACGTCACTGACGTGCAGCTGAAGTACACCCAGGAGGGCAAGTTTCGCGGGTTCGCCTTCGTCGGCTTCAAGACCGAAGAGCAAGCTGACGCCGCCATCGAGTTCTTCAATGGCACTTACATTGGAGCGACCAAAGCTCTTGTGGAGAAGTGTGCCTCCCTTGGTAAGCTGTGCAGGTGGTCATTCGTCATGTCCATCATTTGAGCCTCAAAACTGAATCAATGCAAATATTCCATGCAAATAATGACATCAAGTTTCACTCATTTCAGATGTATGTACTCATGGATGTAAGTGTGGTATAATTTTTGCATTATTCTCATTATTAAGTTGGGTGATCAGCAAATGCCAAGAGGAGACTGTCGCTCGTTTCCGGTATGGGCCACTTTCATTCCTGGTACAAAGTCATCGTGGACATGGATGTTGTCGTCCGCCCTTGATAGCCATGTGGTCCCTGAATGATCTCAGGGTCTGCCGACAAGCCCCGTGCCTGGAGTAAGTATGCTCCAGGAAGTTCCGCACATGTCCGTCTGCACGGAGAAAAGGCCACCAAGGCCGCTAAACAAGATGAAAAGCAGCTGAAGTCGAAGGATGAACAGAAGTCGAAGGGAAAGGGTACCAAGTCTAAAAGCAAGTTTGAAGAGGTCAGTTTCTTGTAAAGTGTGATAGACGTGGTCCTAGGGCCTCACATTTACCTGATAGAATGGCGGTCTCTGTGCTCTGTCAGATAGCGACGCTAGTCAAACCAACGCGGCGCATTGTCAGGGGGGCTCCTGCAGCAGTTTACCGGTTGTTTTGGTGCTTGATATTGGAACACTTATAGAATAGATGGGTGTGCTGGAAAAATGCATGTTGTAAGAGGTCATGCACTTTACACCATTGTTTTGATTTCGGGGGGTGGGGGGGGGGGGGGGTCTCAGTTGCGAAAGCTCACACTTGCTGCACAGGCTGCTCACCCCTATGACCCGGCGTCACAATTTCTGCCAGTGGCTTAAAACACACAAGCACACGCAAACATGCAAGCACGTGCCTTCACGCAAACCCGCACAGACGTAAACACGCACGCACCCAAGCACGCACGCACGCACGCACGCACGCACGCATGCATGCATGCACTCATGCACTCACTCACTCACTCACTCACTCACTCACTCACTCACTCACTCACTCACTCACTCACTCACTCACTCACTCACTCACTCACGCTAAACGCGCAATCACGCGTAGGGAGTCGATCGTCAGCCGCTTATTGACATGACATAACCTTTTTTAATGGCGAGGAAGCCGTGAGTATGAGACCGGTCACGTAAAATCCCGATTGGGCATCGAATCGAACCGGCCATCGCAGAGCTGGGCGGCGTTGAGCAGTAACTAGCCGCCAGATGCGCGCGTCGCCGCGTGGGCGGCAGGTAACAGCTAACCCGGCAGTCAGGTGCTGGCCGACCCGTCGTTCAGCGAGTTCCTGGCCGTGCACGAGAAGGGCCCGCGTGCCGTCTGGACGGACGACGTGCCGCAGCGGCCGACCGCGCCCGGCCAGGACTCGGCCGGCGAGGACCAGGAGGACGACGACGAGGAGGAGGAGCGGCAGGAGGAGGAGCAGCATCCGCCTGGGGAGATGTCGGATATGGACGTAAGGGATGGCTGTTACAGAGGCGATGGTGGTAGGATGTCGCTTTGGAACGGGTTGTGTTCTGGAGCTCGGTGGAGCAAGGGTTATGACCTCACATATCTGAGAGTTTGATATCGAGCGTCATTATGATGCATGTAAGTAGTCGAATTTTACACGGAGGGTACCGGTAGTGTGCTGGTTAACGCGTGTTCAGCGTTGCGCGTCTGGGAAACTAAAGGTACAAAGTTCGATTCCCAGCGGTGCCCGCCCTTCCTGCCAGGGTGAAAGGCAGGCGACGTCGTACAGCCGCAGCAGCCGAGCGCGCCGTAAAGCCCCAATGACGACTATGGCGAATTCTAAATGGGGTCGGCAACTCTTATTTTTTGCGATGTTTCTTCGCTCCTGCTTGAAATGATCACAATATCTCGCGTCTTCCAGTTCTTGAAATCGAAGATTGTAAAGAAATCTGGTGGCAGCGACGGGGACGCCACTGATTCGGAGGAGTTTTGCCTTGCCGTTTTGCCTTGACGATCTCGGGCCACTTGATCATTTCGGGCGCGACTGATTCAGATGTGGGAAGTGGCGGGCACATAATTAATATCCTCAAATATCACATGTTTCCAAATAGCCCTCCTGAAGCTCGAAGCAAATGACGGAGCCCAGAAGGGCTCTTTGAAACTGCTGGGTGGACAGCTGAGACAGCCAGACAAGGAAAAGAACCTTTGGAAAATTTCCTCGAACATGAGGTATTAAGAAGATGGATCATTGAACAGGACCCATGGGATGGCAATACTCACCGCTGAGATGGCTGAGCCCCAGATATTCAGGGGGTCCGGAAACATCCATCGGCCGTCGAGACAGACAAAGCATCCATACGAGGAAATGAAGGGGCTCGGGATGGTCCAAGAGTCTGATTCGGTTCGGCTATTGGGATCCTGACGGGCCGCTGGTTACCTGGACCAAAGGCCTGATTCATTTCGGCTAATGGGAGCCTCACGGGCCGCTGGTTACCTGGACCAAGGGTCTAATTCGGTTCGGGTAATGGGATTCTGACGGGCTGCTCGTTACCTGGACCGTCTAGGGGTTGCTAGACGCTGCAGGGATCGCTGATCCGGTTCGGCTAATGGGATCCTGACGGGCCGCTGGTTACCTGGATCGTCTAGGGGCTGCTATACGCTATGGGCATCGAGGTAATTCAAGGGCTTTTACACGTTTGAGGGTCCCAAAGGCAGTTAAGGGCCTGGGTGTGGCCACAACAATAAGCCGCGGAGGGCTCTAAAGATGCCTGGCTATAGAGGGCTCTTGAGTCACCTGGCGCTGGAGGGCTTTAAAGACGCCTGACGCTGGAGGACTCTAAGGACGCCGTGGGTACTTGGCTGGTTTTATGCTGCTAGACGTGAAGCGACCCAAAATGGTCACGCCGGTAAACAGTCAAGGGGCCATTATGGTCAATTAATTCGGGACGAACGAAGGCCACAAAGACAGCCAAGGCTTGAACACAGCATGTTTCAAGGCACTCCCAGAAGAAACCAAGCTTCTCTTGGCCGTTTTCATGGCAGACATTTCCATGGAGTGCAGAGCCAAAGTATTGTGAGCGCTTGCATTCATTTTGTTGTTCATGCGCTTTGATTTCGTTTTTTTGTGTCTACAGTGCATGCAGTGCCAGGCAGTTTTGCAGAATGAATAAAAATACAGTTCGCTAGGATCATCAATTCCTTGGGTTGTTCAGAAGCTGTTCACAGCTTTTAGGGATAGCATGAGAGGTTCAAAGGTGTTAAGTCGTCAAATACTTGCGTTGATGAACAGGGCTTAATCACTCATGCCACAAAGAGGGGCAAAGACGATAGAAGTTCAACTGCTCCGGAATTGCCAAGCGCCCCCCAGCAGTCAAATGCTTTGAGTTTGTGATAGAGCCGAAGAAACGCGAGAGATCACAACGTTGTGAAAGAACCAGAGTGCAGCCAAGAGTCTGACATTGGTGCGGGCATCCCAAGCAGTCGGGACCGATAGGTGGATGAAAACTCCGTCAAATGTGTAGAAACAGAGGCCAGGGTGCGCCATCGACCACCTATATCTGATACTAATATGTTAATTCATTCTTTCCAAAAACATATTTTTTGTTTGATTGTTCGGAGCGCCTGCAGACTTTTTTTTTCAAAAAAGCAGTTTTCGTTGCAGTCATGATAAATACGACTGAAATGTGGCTACCGTTGTCTCGTTCTCGGCATAATGCTCTGTATTACATCGCTGCACAACATATAATCATTGCTGTCGTCTCCCATATAACTCATCCTAAACGGGCGAGTGGCTGGTTCCCAAGATTTGTTCGCGTAAGCTGGTCTCTGGTTCCAAAACCAGAAAGAACCCGGGAGATAGTTTGGTAGCACGATCGAGATCCAGCACGGGGGCAAAGTCATCAACACATTGTGGCGAGAGAACCAGCAATGGCTTGTTCCAACGGAACCAACAACAACTAGCCACAAGTCTGACATCAATCCGAGAGATCCGGCAAGAAGCAGTATCCAGTATATAGTGATATCAGCGGCAACGACGAGGAGAAGGAGCTTACCTGGATTTGTGTGAGGATCCAGTAGGTATCCACGTGCTGCACTCTAACATATCTCGCCTAAGTTTTGTTTCACATGGTGGCCATTTTCTCGCTGGCCATTATTAGACACGGACTTACTTTCGTACTAAATCTGAAATTGACGGAAGCCGGGATAAGCAGAGGTGGAACCAATAAATCTTTCAGAAAGGATTACTGTCAAAAAAGGATATATTCTTTTGTTTCGGAAGTTTTTTCCTTCATGTCCCTTCCCGTCTTTGCACGTTTGTGGTGCCATATCATTCGGTACTGTGGCACAACATTGCAAACGTAATGTCACCAATATGCTCGTCCATGAGGGTGTAAACAACCGTGCCATTGGCTTGAAGGTGTTTTTCTTGCTTATCCTGTTTTCGTGCCTTTCAGATTATATATTGAAATAGATCCCCGCTTATCAGTGCTATCTTGAAAATGGCTAGCATAGCTGATGAAACAAAAGCTTCTTAGCTACCCAGGCTGGCTTTGTCAGGATCTGGTATTTTGAGGATAAACAATTGGAACCAAGAACGAGGTTTACTTAGTTTTTTCAAGAACCGGTATAAATCAGAATACGCGCTCTGTTGTTGCGAAGACCAACAAATGAAAACAAAGCACCTTAGCCGGGTTTCTTATGAAGAAATCGGCAAGAATCAAGAACCAGGGCTTGATGTGTGCGAAAAAACAGGGGCAACGAGGCCTCAGGGTCTGGTGTTAGTATAATCTATAAGTATATTATACATTATACGAATAAAGTCGATGAGAACCGGGAGCCAATGTCTGGTGACCATGACAGAACTGGGAGCTAGGACCTGTTGCCCGTGACAAAACAGAGAGCTAGGGTCTGGTGACCGTGACAGAGCAGGGAGCTAGGGTCTGGTGACCGTGACAGAACATGGGGCTAGGGTCTGGTGCTCGCAAACGAACGTAGGCGATCCACCAGTCAGACACTGGCGTTTACGAGTATGAAGGAACCATCGGCAACCATGATAGACACCGAGGGTAGCTCCAGTCCCATAAGGGCACATGAAAAGAAATATCTAGCAAGCCTTCGGGTCTAGACCATTTCCGAGCTAACACTTCAATGTTTTGCAGCTCCTTGATGGTGATCCTCAAGCTGGACGAGAGTCCGAGACGGCCCGACAAATAGTCTCCTTCACGTCTGCCAGGATGATTTATGTAGTCATGTTGGGTTTGCGCCCAATGACAGTGTCAGCTCAGTCGTCAAGTTTCAAATAATGCAAACTCCGTTGCAAGATAATTTACTGACTGCAACTTAACTGATGTCCCGCTGTTTCATCGATATTATATATCGAGTGTAGCCACTTAAACTTTGACGTGCTCTTTTGGAGATGATGATGGTGTTGCTACGTCTTACGAACTTAAGCATTTGCGTGGCCACTGCCTCATTTCCCATCCCACACTACCTAGCGTTGTTGGGAACCATACAGGCCTTCAATGCAGTGTTCTTAGTGAAGACGGCGACGGCTCAAGACCAGGGCAGCAATGGGAAAGCCATACTTTAATTCCATGGCCAGCCAGCTGCCTCCCGAACAATGGAAATCTATAAATGGGACCAAGACCTTTTTGAAACGGCCGGCCGCGGCGCACGGCATATCCAACCGTTTCATGGAATGGCAGCGACAGCGGTGTGTTGCGCGACGTGCCACGCAGGGAATGTGGACCGGCTTTTCCATATACAGATACAGATGGCCAGACCTGAAGCAAAATGGGATTTCTAGAATAGGATTATCTCCTTCAGCTTAAGTCTCACCCACACGCCTCAACATAGTCCTCTCATCCGTGACGTTAATCGCAATGCCTGTAATTCCCCGCGCGTGACGCGCTCCGCAACCAAATTTTGACCTTAAAAGTGACGCTCTCCCTTATTGTGTCAGTTAAGAGACTGAATAACTTAAGCTCTACGCCCGCTCAGTTTCGCTCTCACTCCCGTAAAATGAGGCATTCCCTCAGAGATCTTCAGTTTCACGCAACCGACATTACGAGATGATTGAATTGCGAATGAGATGCTAGGATTTTCTTTTTTATTAATATGGAAGCATAAAGTTTGTGCACAATTGTATCATAACACTGCGCAATTGTGACGATATGGCGTGGTGTGGTCATTCGCGTGGTCTTGAGACCCTGACTGCTCTCTGCTGTTCGTAACGTGGTTTGCCCTGCGTGCCTGCAATCGTAAACGCTACGAGGTCGTACTTGCACACTGCCCCCCCCCCATATTGCTGCAGTTGGAGCTCGCAATAAAGTGGTGAAGTACAGCACCGGTAAGTGCTCGAACTGAGGTTCGTATTTGCAGTGTCTAGGATTGCGGCTTTCCCAGAAAAATGCTTCATATTCGGGGTTGATCGAAAATTTTAGACTTATGACGAGTGGTTGGGGCTCACGGTAACATGGTGAAATACGGCACCGGTTATTATTTGGATTTAAGTTTGTGCTGGGAGGGTCTAGGATTACAACTCCCTGGGGCATTGCTCTGTATTCAGAACTGAGGAATTTTAGATTTATGGGTAATGGTTGCACATTTTGAGGCTAACCTCTCATCCAGCATACCCTTTGATTGAGTGGCATATGAAATGTAATTTGAAGTGTTTGTTGATATTAGTACATGTATGTTTCAGGAACACATGGAAAGATCAGGCAGCTCATGCATGTGCTGGGCATGTACCTGGTGCCCTGTCAGTGGTAGTCATTGAGTGTTTTGTCTGGCCTGCTGGCTGATAATTATCTACAGTAAGAAAGCAGCAAATAGGAATGCTGCTTGGTATGCTGAAGGCTTTCTCATACCTGAAGCAGAGTCTATCATTATGTGGTTCACATCAGATATTTGCATGCAGGAAGTGATATGTTGGATTTTTACCTTTTAACTTTTGTTTCAAGGGTTGTGATCCAACTGACCTGAAGTTATCCCAAATGTGACATGCTTCAAACCAGTTCCAGATTAACAAGTCTTTCTGACATTTTTAGGTGGTCCATGATTAGATGAGCTGAGGACCTCCGGATCTCATAGGATATTAGTTCAATAGATTGCAGTTCCTAGGCTTGGCATGTCAAGAAGCCCAGCCTGGTGAAATCATTTGTTGATACATATCTTTATGTATGGGTGTCTGTATATAGATTTTGTTTCAGGCAAAACTACCATGCCAAACTGAACTTCCAAAGAAAGAAGCATGTCAAGAATAATTGTCAAAAACCTGCCAAAGAAGGTAAGGCAATTGTGGATGGTATTTTTTATAAGTGAAATGCTTGAGGCTATGGTTATGGATCAGCAGTTAATTACATTATAGGCCAGCACTTAATAGTTGGTTGGCCTGAAAACTCAAATGTTGTGCTGGTGGTTGAGAATCCTACAAGACCCATCAATGTACTATTTTTAAAAGGGGCTAGCCCAAACCATACTTTTTCTCTCTTGTTTTGATGACACATATGCACAATCATTATAGGGCTGTGTTTTTCATATCACTACATGTTTGCATTCAGTTGTCCCCTTAAACAATTTTGTCTATGAGTCTCTGCAATCCTCCCACAAATATGTGCATTGAAGTAAGATGGAATGTCCTGCAGTGGTGGCTCTAAGACCTGCCCAATGCCATGCACAATTCATTAGGAAGGTCCTGGCCCTACAAGACCAGGAGAGCAATGCCATTTTAGGAGATAAGGTTTAGTTTAAAACATGTTAACACTTTCAAGTTTTGCCATAAAGTTTTGTTAGTTGTTTGGAATTTTGTGATCAGGCAATGATATAGAAGACAACAGATTCTTGTCAATGAGCCTTTAGTGGGTTAGGCCCAGAAGTTGACGGGCAATGAGGTGGACTATAATGTATAAAATGTTGGTGGCATTGGGTACTCTTGTTGCCAGCATTGATCAGATGGTGGTAGAAGCAGTGAAAAGTATAACGCTTCTAGCTGAAATCATGCAGTAAATGTTCTAGGGAAGTGAAAGACCCAAAGGAAACCAAAAGACCCGAATCATTTGTGCAAAACGTACTGATGACATTATATTCAGATTGTCGTGTTGTTGATGTGGACATGCATCTGTGTTTCTGCATCTGTAGCCACCACTGGCTGTCCTGGGTTCATAATTTTTGTGGGGGTTGAATTGTGCCAGGGTCTTATTGTTAAATAAACAGTTGTGTGAAAAGTCACAAATGTGGCTTGATGATATCACCAAATTAGAACCCTGTCACAAGTGGTTAAGAAGCTTTAGGAACCTTATCATGGATCAAAGAGCCCCATCAAGTTCCCCTGTGTCCTTACACAGCCTTTACAATTTATCTTGCTACCTCAGCAGAAAACAAACACAAAACCAAAATGCACACATGTGGGCTGAAATTCTGGCCACCATTGATGATGTCACGGCCTGGAGTACCATATTTGCAATGAGCTTGCCCTCTCCACGCAGGTGACGGAAGAGATGCTGAGGGAGGCATTCAGTGCCAAGGGTTACGTCACTGACGTGCAGCTGAAGTACACGCAGGAGGGCAAGTTTCGCGGGTTCGCCTTCGTCGGCTTCAAGACCGAAGAGCAAGCTGACGCTGCCATCGAGTTCTTCAATGGCACTTACATTGGCGCGACCAAAGCTCTTGTGGAGAAGTGTGCCTCGCTAGGTAAGTTGTGCAGGTGGTCATTCGTCATGTCCATCATTTGAACCTCAGAACTGAATCAATGCAAACATTCCATGCAAGCAATGACATTAGGTTTCACTCATTTCAGATGTATGTACTCGTGGATGTAAGTGTGATATAATTTTTGCGTTATTCTCATTATTAAGTTGGGTGATCGGCAAATGCCAAGAAGAGCTTTTCACTCATTTCCAGTATGGGCCACTTTCATTCCTGGTAAAATGTCATCATGGACATTGATGTTGTCATCCACCCTTTGATAGCCATATGGTCCCTGAATGATTTCAGGGTCTGCCGACAAGCCCCGTGCCTGGAGTAAGTATGCCCCAGGAAGTTCGGCACATGCCCGTCTGCATGGAGAAAAGGCCACCAAGGCTGCTAAACAAGATGAAAAGCAGCTGAAGTCGAAGGATGGACAGAAGTCGAAGGGAAAGGGTACCAAGTCTAAAAGCAAGTTTGAGGAGGTCAGTTTCATGTAAAGTGTGATAGACGTGGTCGTAGGGTCTCACATTCACCTGATAGAATGGCTGTCTCTGTGCTCTATAAGATAGCGACGTTCGTCACACCAACGCGGTGCATTGTCCGGGGACCTCCTGCAGCAGTTTACCGGTTGCTCTGGTGCTTAATTTTGGAACACTTATATAATAGATGAGTGTGGTGGAAAAATGCATGTTGTAAGAGGTCATGCGCCTTACACCGTTGCTTTTATTTAGGGGGGGAGGGGGTCTCAGTTGCAAAAAGTCACGCTTGCTGCACAGGCTGCTGACTCCTATGACCGAGCCTCACAATTTCTGCCAGTGGCTTAATACACACAAGCACACGCAAACATGCAAGCATGTGCCTTCACGCAAACACGCACAGACGGAAACACGCACGCACCCAACCACGCACGCACGCACGTACGCATGGACGCACGCACGCACGCACGCACGCACGCACGCATGCATGTACTCACTCACTCCCTCACTCACTCACTCACTCACTCACTCACTCACTCACTCACTCACTCACTCACTCACTCACTCACTCACTCACTCACTCACTCACTCACTCACTCACTCACTCACTCACTCACTCACTCACTCACTCACTCACTCACTCACTCACTCACTCACTCACTCACTCACTCACTCACTCACTCACTCACTCACTCACTCACTCACTCACTCACTCACCCACCCACCCACCCACCCACGCTAAAGGCGCAATCACGCTTAAGGAGTTAATCATCAGTCGCCTATTGACATGACGTAGCCTTTTTTAATGGCGAGGAAGCCGTGAGCATGAGACCGGTCACGTAAAATCCCAATTGGGCATCGAATCGAACCGGCCATCGCAGAGCTGGGCGGCGTTGAGGAGTGACCAGCCACCAGATGCGCGCGTCGCCGCGTGGGCGGCAGGTAACAGCTAACCCGGCGGTCAGGTGCTGGCCGACCCTTCGTTCAGCGAGTTCCTGGCCGTGCACGAGAAGGGCCCGCGTGCCGTCTGGACGGACGACGTGCCGCAGCGGCCGACCGCGCCCGGCCAGGACTCGGCCGGCGAGGACCAGGAGGACGACGACGAGGAGGAGGAGCGGCAGGAGGAGGAGCAGCATCCGCCTGGGGAGATGTCGGATATGGACGTAAGAGATGGCTGTTACAGAGGCGATGGTAGGATGTCGTTTTGGAACGGGTTGTGTTCTGGAGCTCGGTGGAGCAGCGGTTATGACCTCAGATATCTGAGAGTTTGGTATCGGGCTTCATTATGATGCATGTAAGTAGTCGAATTTTACACGGAGGGTACCGGTAGTGTGCTGGTTAGCGCGTGTTCGGCGTTGCGCGTCTGGGAAATCAAAGGTACAAGGTTCGATTCCCAGCGGTGCCCGCCCTTCCTGCCAGGGTGAGAGGCAGGCGACGGCGTGCAGCCGCAGCAGCCAAGCGCGCCGCAAAGCCTCAATGATGACGATGGCGAATTCTAAGTGTGGTTGTCCACTCTTACTTTTTGCGATGTTCCTTCGCTCGTGCTTTAAATAATCTCAATATCTCGCGTCTTCCAGTTCTTGAAATCGAAGATTGTAAAGAAATCTGACGGCAGCGACGGAGACGCTACTGATTCGGAGGATGAGTCGAAGGGAGCAGCCTCAAAGGTTTCCAAGCCGTCTGGCAAACAGAACGTTGTGCGAAAGTTTGAGATAAAGTTCACTGCGAAAATCACCGGACTTCCATCAAGTGCCAAGAAGAAAGACGTTCGCCAATTTTTGGCTCCACTGAAGCCTAAATCCATCAGACTCCCGCCCAGAACGAAGGGCATCGCCTTTATCGGCCTGCAAACTGAAAAGGAGCTCAAACTGGCGCTCAATAAGAGCAGGACGTTCTTGAGTAAGTGCATTTCTCCCTTTACTCTTATCTGTGTGGTAACTACGCCATTTGCAGCACCGCGCTTCAATTTGCTCGGTTCGTGTATTTCAGCCTCGTTTCCACCGTTTCTCTTCGTTACGACATGAAAATGCCAGGCTGGCGCTGGTCATTGCATGGCTCGATACAATCATTTGTTTTGCCTCCTCTGACGCGTCCCTGGTATGACTTGGCCCAAAATAACCTCAAGTAAAGTTGTGATGGGCATGAACCCTTCAATGCATACGGCAGGGCGCGGCATTGTGCTGCTCTTCCCTCCGCCCCGTCTGAGCTGGCGACACCATATATCGGACCTCAGTCCGCCTGGTGCCGAGCTCGCGCGTATGCGCGCCGCCTGACGAAGCGTGCTCGCCAGACGGCCGGCGGCTGGAGGTGAAGAAGCTGGAGGAGCGGCCCGCCGGCGGCCGAGCGGCACCCTGGGAGGAGCAGCAGCGCCAGCTGGCCGACGTCGAGCCCGTGGCCGAGACGGGCCGCATCTACGTCCGCAACCTGGCCTACACGGTCACTGAGGCTGAGCTGGAGCAGCTGTTCTCGCAGTACGGTCAGTGAGGCCGCGCGCTGGCCCCCGACGCCGGGCAGGGGGCGTCGCAGGGTCGAGCTCGCCGAGTGACTGTAGTGAAGTGGTCCGTCCCGACACCTGGGCTCGATGTTACTGGCGTTGTCTTTCCCGGTATTTGTACATTTACGACCCGCCTGGAGACGCTACTCGTGTCGGCTAAGCTGTTGTTAACAGGAATCAGATATGATGGCCGCCTCCGCGTCCCGATTTGTGGAGGGCCGATCGTCTGACCGCTGCATGGCACATACGTGGGGCTTCGCGTCCTGGCAATAGCGCTCACGTGATTGTGAAGGCGGTGTCATGAGCGTCCTTGGTCATGTCGTGGCTTTGCATGACGTTAAATTTCCCGATAACTTTCGCGTAAAAGACCAAAACAAAATTACATCTGATATAACTGAGAAGGCCTTCAGCTTCTGGTTGTTGGGCATATAAGCTCAGACTTCTTATGCTAAGTTATCGACTTCCACTTTCCAGGGGACTGTTTAAACGACGTTATAGAGCAGACATTGGTTATGTTTTCTATGATTGACGTTTCAAGCGGTGCTTTTGATCACGATCATCAATCCCACGAGCTTAAAATCTCGAGATCACTTTGGGAGATCACGAGATCACTCGTGATTATAAGCACGGATTGAAAAGTAGAGTATTGAAAATAGGACCAGTGTTTGCTCTATGACGTCGTTTAAGTAGTGCCCCCCGGTATACTGAAGGTTAAACTCAGCATAAAACTCCGAACTGATAATGTCATAATTGAATCCGCTGAATTGGAATTCCTGTGCTGGATTAGTGAGGTCAAAGTCCTGGCAACAACCTATTGGTGTGATTGCAAGGCTCGAGCTAACCAAACAGGCGATTCAGTTATCAGACTGGATGCGCTTACTTTAACGGGCCATTACTTTAATACTTTTGAGTCACTGTGTCAGCTTCCATTTTCATATATGCGTCCTTAAGTTCGCGATATGTGCGGATTGTGACCGTTCTGGTGCGCTGTGCGAAAACAGCGCAAAATTCACCCAACCGAAGGGGCACTGATGTTCGCAGGGAAGCTGACTGAAGTGAACTTGCCGGTGGACCGCTACAGCCGCAAGATCAAGGGTTTCGCCTTCGTCATGTTCATGTTCCCGGAGAACGCGCAGCAGGCGATGACGGCGCTGGACGGCTCCGTCTTCCAGGGCCGCATGCTGCACCTGCTGCCGGCCAAGTTGAAGAAGTCGCTGGACGAGGACGGGGACGAGCGTAAGGACGCGCCGGCTGTGGATCGGATTGAGTTCTGGCTATCAGTCCTTTGTGAAGACTTGGACGTTGTTGCGTTCAGGCAAACATTAACAGGCTGGCTGGAGGTTTACGGGAGTGGTTACCGACCCATTTCGTCTAATTGGCAGCAGCGTGAAAATTGTTTTTTTTTGCCGAATTTTCGTATCTTTTTACTAATCTGCCAGGGTTTGTGCTCGTCGTGCATCACTTGTAAGTTGTTGTATTGCATAGTGCCCCAGCACCAAATCGGTTGGGTCTGACGGCACTTTCCGTCAACAGCGTCCACAGACTTCAAGGCGAGGAAGGAGAAGCAGCTGAAGAAGCAGGCCGGATCGGCTCACAACTGGAACGCCATGTTTCTCGGGGCGAACGCCGTCGCCGACCTCATGGCGGAGAAGTACGACGTAGCCAAGCGAGATGTGAGTCTGATCACCCGATCAGATCTGATCCCGATCCCGATCAGACATGATCCCGATCCCGATCCTGATCCTGATCCTGATCCTGATCCTGATCCTGATCCTGATCCTGATCCTGACCCTGATCCCTATCCCGATCCCGATCCCGATCCCGATCAGATATGATCTGATCACATCATGGCGCCGGTCTAGCGTCGTTGTTGTTCCCAGCGACAAAAGCTGATTAGCATGCTCGAAAATAAGACCCCTGGCTGCGCTGTGGCCTACTTCACGGGGCGCCTCAGCTATTCCAACTTGTGCGGATGTGCTGAACGGTAGTGTCCAGGGCAACGTCTGAAGGGAACACGAGAGTGACGTCTGTCACGTGACTCGATGACGTCACACGGCTGCCTGCTGCTGCTGGTCACGGGAAAGCAGCATCGGAGACGGCCGCGCGGTCTGAGTGACGTCATGCCGTCACGTGATCGGGTGACGTCACGCGGCCGGCTGTCGCCAGGTGCTGGACAGCAGCGGTAAAGGGAGCGCGGCGGTGCGGCTGGCGCTGGGCGAGACACAGCTGATCGCCGAGACCAGGGAGTTCCTGGAGGAGCAGGGCGTGCGGCTGGACGCCTTCTCCCGGCCGGCCACCGAGCGCAGCAAGACGGTTATCCTGGCCAAGAACCTGCCGGCGCACACGGACCCGGCGCAGCTGCGCGAGATGTTCTCACGCCACGGCCAGCTGGGCCGCGTGGTGCTGCCGCCGAGCGGCGTCACCGGTCAGTGGGGAGGGGGAGAGTCACCGAGCACGGGCGCGGACGGTCCGGGCGGCGTCCCTGGTCAGTGGGGGGAGGGTCACCGGTCATAGGTGGGAATGGTCCGGGCGGCGTCCCTGGTCAGTGGGGGGAGGGCCACCGGTCATAGGTGGGGACGGTCCGGGCGGCGTCCCTGGTCAGTGGGGGGAGGGCCACCGGTCATAGGTGGGGATGGTCCGGGCGACGTCCCTGGTCAGTGGGGGGAGGGTCACCGGTCAGGTGGGGACGGTCCCAGTGACGTCACAGGTCAGTGAAGGGCATCGCGGGTCAGGGGGTGGAAACTCGGCAGTGGGGGGCGCCCGTGATTTCGTTAGCACATCGGTGGAAGAGGTAGCGCGTTAATATGATAAGATGAGAGATTAGTGAGGGGATCAGAGTGTTGGCATCATTGATGCTGTTGCAGGATTCATGGATCGCCAGTAACAAGCCTGATATAAATTGTTTGGATCATTAATTGAGCCACTTGTGTCTGAAATTAACTGACAAATTGATCGGGATTAATGATCATTTAGTGTGCCGTTTCTGCAGAACAGTCCACTTTGCACCAGTTGTGTGCAAAAGTGTTAAGCTAACTAATCCACTCCCCGCCCCATCCTCCCCCCCCCCCCCCACCCCGCCCTAACACACACCGCTCCCTCGGCAGCCATGATCGAGTACTTCGAGCCGTCGGAGGCCCGCGTCGGGTTCCGTGCTCTCGCCTACACCCGCTTCAAGAACGGTCCGCTATACCTGGAGTGGGCGCCGGTGGACGCGCTGGGCGAGCCGGTGGCCAGGCAGGAGGCCGGCACAGGTGAGGTGGCCGCCACCGGCCTGCTGCCGGGTGTCGGCCCTGGCCGGGCCCGCCGCTGGGTGCCATTATGCCGGCGGCGGCTGTTTGCTTGATGGGTTGTTTGTGGGGAGCGGCCGGCGGGATCTGCTATATTGCCTGCTGGGCATACAGCGGTGTTGTACGTGGGCCTCGTCGTCGCGGTGCTGTGTAAACACGCGGTATTAGCGTGGTGTCGTCGGTGGGCGCGCCTGCTGTATCGAGCCGCTCGTTGCAGTAATAACTGCGGTGCTGTTCCCCATTACCCAGGAAGTGCGCGCCGCAATCATTGTTGTTGTTGGAATGCAGTGAGGGCCGGCAGCGGAAGTCCTGGTGTAATCATGTGTGTGTTAAGGTAGCTACACGCCAATATCTTAATTATCGTGGATGCCTGTGTCGTGCTTTGCTCTGTTTTGCTTTTTCTCACCAAACACTTAACTGGAATCTGCATACAGCAATTCACTGCGTGCAATGGCTCCTATTTAACCGAACTGAACATATGCACGGCAATGGAGGATCTGTGTTCCACATAACCAAGTCACTGCAGTTGTCTTGGAAACAGCTGCTATCTGCTGCTGGGACCTGCGAGGATCGATGGTAATCTGGTGAAGATATGAGTCCGCAGGGGGCGCTATGTTACCCCCTGCCAGGTCTTCTCACCTTGCAGTGTAAATCGCAGTCGTATCGTAAGTAGATCTACGTTTCTGGTGGAACCGTGTGACGAAATGTCACGGTGGTAGGGCAGCGTGTCGCATTAGCTTGTCCTGGACACGCGTGACTCGTGCTGGAAGCTGGCATTTTGAGTTGTTTTCTTCATTGCGCACAGACGCTGGAGACGACGGGGAAAAGCCAGCGGCCGTGGAGCCGGCGGCCGATGAAGAGGAGACTGACGAGCTGGAGCCCGAGGAGGGCGCCACGCTGTTCGTCAAGAACATCAGCTTCGAGACCTCGGACCAGACGCTGAAGGAGGTGAGCGCGGCGGCGCTGGCGACGTTATCTACGTCAGTGTAGCCGCGGCGCTGGAGGCTGCGTGTCGCCGCGTATGGCTAATCAGTCGACGTTGGCGTTGCCGTTTGTGCAGTGTGGAGACTTGTTGCCTTTTGAGAAAACGCGTTGATAGGTGCCTTTTAAGCATACAAATTTTGCCAAAACAATGAGCAAATGAGTCGAAGCACAACATGCGTCGATCACCAGTTCACACCGATTGCGATTCATTCTATCCAGCGTTGTTTGCAAAAATTGCGTAGACTCCAAAGAGCGCGTGATGTCTTAAGCTGGCCATGAAACTCCGAATAACGTCAGATCTATGTCAGCTCTTTTTGGCCATGAATCGACGGCTCGACCCTTCAGAGCAAATCAATACAGATATGCTGTGAACAGTTCTCGCGGTGTGACCGGTGCGCGGGCCAGCAGCAGCGGCGATGTCAGTTGGCGCGTCGGTGAGCCCCGTGCAGGCGTGCCGCCGTCTCATGTTGAACCCGTGCTCCCCCCGCCTCCAGCACTTTGCGCCATGCGGCCGGCTGCTGAGCGCCGTCGTGTCGCGCAAGAAGGACCCCAAGCGGTCCGACCAGTGGCTCTCGCAGGGCTACGGCTTCGTCAGCTACCTGCGCAAGAAGCACGCCAAGAAGGCGCTCAAGGAGCTGCAGCAGGTGGTGCTGGACGGCCACGCGCTCGAGCTCAAGGTCTCCAACCGCACCACGGCGTGAGTCATCCGGCCGCAGGCGGGGCGCGGCCTGGGTCCGGGATGGCGATGTGCATATGATTGGTTTTACAGCGCTGGTGGGCACGGTCTCACTCTATTCGGATGCCTGCTTGGAAGTCTTGGGCTGAAGCTCGTTCGGCATTAAAGTGTGTTTACACTTGTACGCGTGTTATGTAGTTACTGTACTCAGGGCCTTGTCAGTACAGCTCTTTCGTGTGTTGTGGGCTTGCTTAAGTGGTCCAACGACGGGTTTTGCCGCAGGCCTGAGGTAAAGTCGCTGCGAAAGAAGCACGATGGTGGCAAACAGAAGTCGTCCAAGATTCTGGTGCGGAATATTCCGTTCCAGGCCAACAAGAAGGAAATAGTGGAGCTTTTCCGGTGAGTGATCGTTGTGCCCCACTGCTGTTTGTTTTGGCCTCGCTTTCGGCCAGACTCTTGGGTGCCGTGAACGTAATGTCTTGCGGACCGTGAGGGCATGACACGTCCGTTACTGAGTGTGTGCACTGAGCTGCTCTGTTCCTGGCCTTTGGTCAGCGGACGCAGACGGTGCCCGACCCGCCGGCCATGGTCAGTCATGACCCGGAGCCGAGCCCTGACCCTGCTGACTCGCCCTTCTCTGACGCGACCCCCCCCCCCCCTCTCCCATCCCCTTTCCGCCGACCATGGCCAGCCATAAGCCGGAGTCGAGTCCTGACCCTGCTGACCTCCTCTGACGACCCCCCCCCCCCTCCCGCCGGCCGTGGTCAGGTATGACCCGGAGTCGAGCGCCGACCTCGCTGTCCCTCCCTCTGACGCCCCCCCCCCCCCCCGCCCCCACCGGGCATGGTCAGCCATGACCCGGAGTCGAGTCCCGATCCTCCTCTGACGCCCCTCCCCCCGCCGGCCATGATCGGCCATGACCCGGAGCCGAGCCCCCCCCCCCCGCCCCGCTGACCCTCCCTCTGACGCCCGCCCCCCGCTCCCGCCGGGCATGGTCAGCCATGACCCGGAGTCGAGTTGTGATCCTGCTGACCCACCCTGCTCTGACGGCTCCCCCCCGCCGGCCATGATCGGCCATGACCCGGAGCCGACCCCCCCCCCCCTCCCCCGGCCCCGCTGACCCGCCCTCTAACGCCGCCTCCTCGCCGCCGGCAGCACGTTCGGCGAGCTGACGGCCGTGCGGCTGCCGCAGAAGATGGCCGGCCTCGGCACCGGGCCGCACCGCGGCTTCGCATTCGTCGAGTTCACCAGCCGGCCCGACGCCAAGGTGGGCTGACGGGGCGGGCTCGCGCGGCCCCGGGCCGGGAGGTAACGCCGGCACGGGGAAGCGCGGGCTGTCATACCGCCAGAGGGCTGAGCGAAACCCGGTCGGTAGCGAGGCTGGGTTATTGGTTCGGCGTGGCGGGCTAATGCGCTTCAGTTCATGAAAATGTATGGTTTGTTAAGGTAGAGCTGAAAGAAGCATTGGTAGTTATTATTGACCATTGAGTTGTTTACCCCAGCTAGGCTCCGTGTGTCACTCATGACCAGGGCATTAGGCTGGTGTAATTGGCGGTTCTGTTTCCTGTAAGCCCCTGGATTAATCCGTGCGGCGAGTCCGCGCGTGTATCAGGCGAATGTCAAACATTCATGTCCACTCCGCCGTCAACGCAACTAGGTTGAAAACGCGCATTTCCCTACGTCAGTGGACCAAGATGCATGAAAAACATGTCACGTGCTGTGTGACATCCGCTCCGTCTCACTCCGAGACGTGCGCTGTGTCAGTGGCAGAGCGCTACGGCTGCTTGCCGAGCCATGCAGCCACTGCGGCAGCTTCCGTGCCTTGTCTTCCAGGCGGCCTCCGCCGCTGTGTACGAGAGCCTCCACCCGCCTGTGGTGTCACCTGAGTTGATAGGCGCTGTTCTGGGACGGTTGCCCCGCGTCCGTCTGCCCAGTCGTCACTTGTCCCTATGTAACGGCGGGGTGGTGACGGCGCGTGTGCTCCGCCAGAGGGCGTTCGCCGCGCTGTGCGCCTCCACCCACCTGTACGGTCGCCGGCTGGTGCTGTGTAACTGTGCGGTAGTGACGGTACGTGTGCTCCGCCAGAGGGCGTTCGCCGCGCTGTGCGCCTCCACCCACCTGTACGGTCGCCGGCTGGTGCTGTGTAACTGTGCGGTTCTGACGGTACGCGTGCTCCGCCAGAGGGCGTTCGCCGCGCTGTGCGCCTCCACCCACCTGTACGGTCGCCGGCTGGTGCTGTGTAACTGTGCGGTAGTGACGGCGCGTGTGCTCCGCCAGAGGGCGTTCGCCGCGCTGTGCGCCTCCACCCATCTGTAGGGTCGCCGGTTGGTGCTGTGTAACTGTGCGGTAGTGACGGTACGCGTGCTCCGCCAGAGGGCGTTCGCCGCGCTGTGCGCCTCCACCCACCTGTACGGTCGCCGACTGGTGCTGTGTAACTGTGCGGTTCTGACGGTACGCGTGCTCCGCCAGAGGGCGTTCGCCGCGCTGTGCGCCTCCACCCACCTGTACGGTCGCCGACTGGTGCTGTGTAACTGTGCGGTTCTGACGGTACGCGTGCTCCGCCAGAGGGCGTTCGCCGCGCTGTGCGCCTCCACCCACCTGTACGGTCGCCGGCTGGTGCTGTGTAACTGTGCCGTAGTGACGGCGCGTGTGCTCCGCCAGAGGGCGTTCGCCGCGCTGTGCGCCTCCACCCATCTGTACGGTCGCCGACTGGCGCTGTGTAACTGTGCCGTAGTGACGGTACGCGTGCTCCGCCAGAGGGCGTTCGCCGCGCTGTGCGCCTCTACCCATCTGTACGGCCGCCGGCTGGTGCTGGAGTGGGCGGCCGCCGACGACGACGTCGACACGCTCCGCCTGAAGACGGCCGCCCACTTCACGGGCGATGGTGAGGCGGCGCGGGGGCGCGAGCGCTGGGGCGCGGCCGGTCAGGGTGTGACCCTCTGGGTGGGTCTGTGTGGACCGGTAGACGGCCGAACGCAGCCGTGGGACGGGCCTCAGGGCAGTTGATGTGTGTGTTTGTTTGTTTGGGTTGCCAGACAGCGACGTATGCTAACTGGAGAAGCGGGACATTTTTACCTGTGCTTGTGCTCGGGGACAAATAAATATTCACCATATATGCATATGTGCATAGAGCTTTTATATATATATATATATATATATATATATATATATATATATATATATACATACATATATAAATACATATCATGTCCTGAACCAGTATTCATCTTTTTTGTCACCGTTGCTTCATAGTTTCCTCACACGCGTTCATTGCCCGATTTCTAGCGCCCTCTAAGAAGCGAGTCAAGATGGACGAGGAGGCCGGCCAGCCCTGATCGGCCGCCGCCGCTGGCCGCCCGCTGTCTCCGCCGGAGGAGACTGTGCTCGTCAGCTGACATCCCGAGGTGCCGCCCTGCTGGCCTGCCACCCTGCCGCTCTGGCGGCGGCTGGCGTCATCAGCCGGCTGGTCCGCTGTCGCTCGGCGACCGGCGGCCGGCCCGCTGCTGTCGGCCCGCCGTCTGCCCGGCGAGCGCCGCTCGGTACCGAGGCCCGGCCCGCAACGCCGCTCGGCACCGAGGCCCGGCCCGCAGCAGACGCGCTGCTGACGGGTCACAGTCGTGGGCCGCCGGGCTTGGCATGTGCGGTGAACCTAAGACCCGTGGTACAACTGACTCTCGCGTTGTTGGGGTGGTAGAAGAAAGCTGTTTGTATTACTGTTTCTGGTGCGAAGAGAAATACACGCGGTGAGATAATCGAGTTGTGTTGTTCCGCCAACCCAGCTGCCCGCACACCCCGGCGGCATGACAAGGCCAGCGCGGGCACGGCCCTGACATTAACCGCGCCACGACGCGCGAAAGGTCACCGCCCGACCTCCCTCACTCCTCCAGCCGACCGAGCCCCGTGTCCTCCGCCTCCGCCGCCTCGACTCGCTCCGTGCGTGGCCGGACGTCCGTGGCTGCGTGCCGGCGCGCCGCCCCCGCGCGCGGCGTGCCCGCGCAGCCCCGGCCGGGCCGACCGCTCGCGCGTGGGTCCGGGAGGGCCGGTCGGCCGGCGGTGACCTTTGGCGGCCGACGGCCGGCAGTCGGGCCGTGACGCGCCGGCTGGCCGGCCGCGCATGAAGCCGAGGCGGTGGCTGCCGGCGCGGCGGCTGCTGCTGCCGCCGCTGCCTCTGCTGCTGCCACTGCTGCCGCTGCTGCTGGTGGTGGACAGCGTGGCGGGTGAGTCACGCTACCGGGGGACAGTGTTCTCGGAAACACGCTGGTTGTGCCAGTAGGTGTGCTACATTGTGCATATTGGTCACGATCACGATACCTGTCGAGGATTGCTACCTTCAAGCATTTCTAGCTGTTTGATGGTAGTCATACGTGTACGTGACAAGTGGCTTACATGGTTTGAAGGTAGCTTATGCTGCTGGAGGTGCTGCGCGCTGTTAAAGTGGAGGCCGATCACGCTCTCCAGGGGCGAGCTGCACGTTAGGCTGCCCTGCAGGAAACTGTGCAAAGGTACACCGCTGCCGAGGGCGGTAGGTCGGATAACTTCCATCTACACTGAAACCTTATCTCAGACATTTCGTAAGGCTGTGAGGCAGGCCGCGTTCGCTGTGCACCCTCGTTTGGCTTGGTTTGCTGTATGACGTCATAGTTTATTGTGTGACGTCACCAGGTAGTTTGTTGAGTGGCGTCATGACGTTTGTGTTAACCAGATGAGCCGGACTCGAGGTTGATCTATGGGACTGATTAATCTCCACGTCCAGTTTCTGACCTCGGAATAGTCTGTATCCATCTTCGCCTTCTGGCCAATGAAGTGTGATATTCACTCGCTTACGCGTTAACACACATCTTTGAGGTCTAGTGTAGCAATGTCTGACGCAGCGTGTCCCAGCACCGTTTCCTGACCTGCACGTTGCATCCGCTGCTGCTGACGTGCTGGTCACAGCTGTAGCGTGCACGTCCGACGGCCCGCTCGGCGCCGCCAGGTCGCGTGCTGTTCACCTGCCCGCCATACCGTGTGCCGGGCCGCGCCGTGCCGGCCTACCTGCTGCCCGGCCAGACCCTCAACATACCGGGCAAGTGTCGGAGCCTCACCTGCGTGCGGAGCACCGTCGACAGGCACCTGCACCACGTGGAGCACAGGTCAGAGGCGGCCGGGCGGCCGGGGGACGCTCCGCTACCCCCGGCCGAGGACCCCACCTGGACGGTCGGGTGGGGTGGAGTTCGAGGAGGGGAGCGTCAGGAGCGTGCATTTTTGCGTGGATAGCCGGCGACTTGACATGCTGTCGGCCTTCAGTGACGAGCCCTTGCCTCTGCGTGGCATAGACTCTTCGTGACGCGACGTTTCTCCGCGTTAGTTTGACTGTAAATCACAAAGGTGAATGATTCGTCAATATGATATAGGCAAGAAAGCTCCGTTTGCAGTTGTGCTGGCAATAATTAACTTTCATGGTGCCAGAAACAACTGCTTAAACGACGCTATCAACCAGGTATTGGTTATGTTGCCAAAACTCGACCAGCTTACGGGTGCTGCGCTTAATTCCGGCGCGCTAAATCTCGCGTTCCGTTTCAGATGCGCACTCTCGGCCCGGATGAGGGGATGTCGTCCGAACTACAAGCTAGAATACCCTCAGTGCTGCGATCATCCGGTGTGCCCCGGGCCGGGCGGCACCGGCCCCGAAGCCGGGCCCCGACCCCCGCCTCAGGCCGGGCCCGGCGAGGCTGTGGAACCCCGGTCAGGAGGGGGCGCAGCGTCCTCCGCACCTGCTCCGGCCGCACCTCCTGCTGAGCCTGCACCCACCGCTGCGGAGGTGGACAGCATACCCGGTGGCGATAACGGAGAGGGCCCAGCCGCGGCTTCGTCGGGACGAGACGACAGCGGTGAGGCTCAGCCTGAAGCCAATGCGACGATGCCGTCCGGCGGTGCGGTTCAGCCTCCGGTCGTCACGTCGTCGGGGTCAGTCGTGAGCACCGGCTCGGGGTCCTCGACCAACGGTACGGCAGCTCCTGAAGGCGGTACCAAGTCCAGACAATCGGTGTGGCTCGCGGCCGAAACAAATGCCGAAGGCGCATCGAAGTCACCTCCCGACCTATCGTCCGGGGCAAAGGGTGATGGCGCAGGCAACTCTGACGCAAACAAAGAAACGAAGTCTGCCCGGTCCGTGCCTGCGACACCAGGAGCGACCGCGGCGCCATCTGCAGCCAAACAGCCGGCCAAGCGTGGTCCGGAGACGGGCGGCGCGGGACGGACTGGGCCGTCCAGCGCCGCTGGGAGCCCCGCTGCACCGAACGGCACCTCGACAACAGCGTCGGAGTCGACCGCCGCCGCCGCCGCGACGGTGGCGCCACCTGAGAACACAGGCCAGGCGCCGCCGGTGGTGAGCTCCCCGAGCCCAGCGGTGGTGCTCTCACCGCCCCAGTCAGGGCTCGAGCCGCTGCCGACTGCTGACCCCGGGCCGGGCTCGGTCACGGCAGGGACTCCAGGGGGCGCCCAGAAGGCTGGAGGAGATCTGGGGGCGGCAAAGAAGGCGGGCGGCGCTGGTGGGCGGTGTGCTCCAAACTGCGCCCCCTCGAAGATGGGTGCGAATGACGACGCGACTTCACCAACCACTTCCACGTCACCGTCTCGGCCGCCTCCCACATACTTGATTCCTCCTCCACGCACCCCTGCCGCCGCACCGTCCCCTACCCATCCCCCCTTCGCGGCCACACGCTTCGGTCCCGACCCGTGGCTGTTCCGGTCGCAGCAGGTTCTGACCAGCCGGCACCGTCACTCCGCCGCTCCGCCGCTCGGCCGGCCCGGCGGCGCCATGCCGCGCCGCAAGCTCCGCGTGTTCGACGTGCGCGTCGGGCGCCGCCCTCCGCCCCCGCCGCGACCTTCCGCCGGTGGCAGGCTGCACCGACCCAAGCTGCGCACGTGGACCGTGGTCGTGGGCCGGCGGCGACAGCCGACGGAGCCTCCGATGCCTGCGCGGCGGCCACCACCGCCACCGCCACCGCCACCGCCACCGCCACCGCCACCGCCATCGCCATCGCCACCGCCACCGCCGCCGGCGCCAGCGGCGGTGGCAGTGGCGGTGGCGACGCCTGGCGGCCGGCCCGAGGTGAGGCACGCCGGCGTACGAGCGCCCAAGGTGTCTGGGAACGTGAGGACGTTTCGCGTCTATTTAAGGTTGCCTGCGGCTAGGCGGAATAGGCCGTGACATAGTATTGTTCGAGTTCCAGTGTGGTCCGCCGCGATGCAGGCGACCGCGGGCTGTGAGGGAAGAGCTTTGGACGTAAATGCTTTCGAGAGCGAACAAAACCGGGCCAGACGCTCAGTGTTTGCTCTGGTGACGGTCTTGAGAAGTAACCACCGACGTCAGTCCTCGGTAGGTCGGTCGACGATTAATATGTTTGCATTGTGCGCATGTGCAAGTTCAACCGCCAGGGCTAGAGAACACACAATGTAGATGAGTGGGATGTAACGTGGCCAGCCGCGGACATGTCGGTGAGCCTGCAGTTGACAATAGTCTGTAACCCATAGCATGCGGTACTTTTCAACAGATGTATTGTCCAAGTTTAAGCGATTGAAGTGATGGTGAATTGGGCTATTTCGCTAAAAGAAACGCGGTGCCGGTTGGCTCCGGCCTCCTTAAGAGAAGCGGATGCTCACATGGTGCTGACAGACGTCCAATGAGTAAACCAGGTGGGCACAGGCAAAACATTGTAGCCAAGGGTGCACTGCTATGATGTGTGCATATTAATAAAAGATTCATACGCCACTGTATTAGCATACGTTCTTATTTACACGTCGCTTCCAAGGAAGAATAACAAAAGATGATACCGATGCTAACAGACTCTTTGAAACATGATGACCTTGATCATTTGACGGCGTCACGGTCTGTGTGACGTCACTGTCCACCACAACCACCGCCGCCAGCGCTCAGTCACCTCAGATACGCGTGTTTCGCAGCAACTAACATAGAATCGCAAGGACTGACGGCTGCAAGATTCCGATGAACAACAGTCTATTCTACATGAAAATACTGTCGGCAGCAGTTGAGAAAACGCACCGGTCACCGGCGATTCGTCCGTCAAATCTCACCAGAACCGTCCACAAAGTATCCAGATACGACAGATCCGACCACTCATCTGGCAGCCGGCCACTCGTTAGACACCTTACAAGCTAGAAACAATGCGCTCGCGTGAGATTCTGCCGCTGTCGTCTAGCCGCCGCTACGCGGTCGTGTTCGGTGGTCGGCGACGACGGGCGCGCGCCGCCGCCTGCTACGCAAGCGCTGCACCACACCAACAGACCCGACGGCCGCCGCAGCCCACACCGAACAGAGTCCGTCCGACCGCCGCCGCTAGCTACCGGCTTCTGGGGCGGCGCGCCGACGCCCGGCGGGCGACAGGAACCGGCGGCCGGGCCGCCCGCCGCACTCCCGCTACAAATGTTTAAAGCGTCGACCGAGCTATTTACACGTGTGCGTGTCCAGCAGCGTGATGCACGTCTTGCAGTGCACTTTGCAGCACCAGACGAACTTGCAGTGGCAACGCTCAGCCCGCCGCACCACCTGTGAACGCGGACACGGGACGAGTGGGAAAGTGTTCAGGTTTGTGGTGTTCTTAGGTGCAATGCAGGCATCTGCGGTCATATTTTCAACGACATAGACTGATATTTGATGACCTTATGATGCTGTCATTCCCAGCTTTAGCAGAAAGAACGATACCATTCATGACGACAAGCCTGATAAACAGACGCCATTAAAGACTTAATAACCTTTGCAATGCATCAAAAACTGTCTTTCAGTCATCTCGGTCACGCCTGCCATGAGTGCCGACAGCAGCGCCACCTATTTCTCAACAGCGCCACCTGCCGCAGCGTCCGACAAACCTCGGTATTGTAGCCGCGGCCGCAGCAGAGCAGGTCGCAGCTGTCAGGACCGTTGGAGTTTTTGCTGCACTCGCGGCCCTGCGTACCCAGCACGCCCATCTTGGGATCGTGCAGGCAGTAGTTGGGACTCTGGTCGATGTACACCAACGCCCGCGCCTTGGGCGCCTGCTGGCTGCGCCGGCCGCGGCCGCGCCGCCGCTTGCGCCTCAAGCGTCGCCGCTTGATCGCCACCTGCAGCATGGGGTGTCACGTGACCGACAGCGGCGCTCGGCGGCCGCGAATGGCCACAGGCCGGGTACCACAGGGCGGGCGTCTGTAGAGTGCCTTAGTGCAAGAGGGGTGCCCAAGGATGGCGGCACTGCCGGCTGGGTCGCCCGAGGGTGGGCGCTCGTGGAGCGGGGCTAAATGAATGGGTGGTCATTAAGTGCGTTAGCGCCAGGAGAGGGATACCAACAAAACACAACTGTGTCAGGAAGTGTCACGGTTATTCATTGTAAGACCGGTGTCAGACATACCTGGAAATCGCGCTGTTGCATTACTGTCTTAGGAGAACGAATACAATTCTTACTCAAGTTTCTATCTCTGGCTAGTAGATTTTCACTGTGCGTGGTCGGAGTTTTATTGGGAACCTCACAAACAATCGTTTGAATGGCTTCCTTAACGAGTTGTAATATCGTCAGTACACAAACGGGACTGGGGATACAGCCACGTCTCCTAAGGGTCCTGCGCTCATCAGGTTAGGAAATGTTTGCGGCAATAATGTCGCGAGATCGCTCGCTTTCAATTAATGATTCTAAGACGCCTAGTATCATTAACGAACTTTCCCCGTATCTTGTCAGGCATCGCAGCCTTGGTATGGAGATTTGGCCGCACTCACAAGTAGGGACAGCTCTCTAAAACCAACGGATGTGACATCACTGTAGGGAAACCTCCGGGAAGGCAGGAAGCCATCTGATGAATCAACATGCCATGTAAAAAGTCAAGTGTCCACTGTAACGGATCGGGCACTTCAGACGGCATGCAAACGTACGCCACAATGTTTACATTGGACGATGGATTGCTGAGGGTTGAGGAGCTGAAAACCTTGCGAAAACCGCAGCACAATGCGTGTGCAAATAAACGCCGCGAAAGCAAGCAAGCAATCCACAAGACAACTTAAGTGCTAGGACCTGTGTGACCGTCTACGTTTTGGAAAAGGACCTCCATAAAATCAGCGTCACTTAGTTGTAGATTCATTGTTCTCATTTCGAATTTGTTCCGCTCGCTAATCGGATGTGCCGCCGACCCTGCGCCTCGCAAGCCGACACCGAAAACTAATACCCGTCATCATTTATTACGGGCTAGCATGACATTCATATCGCAGCTTCAATAACATGGAGATTAGTCTCTGGCGGACCGCTGAGCGGTTCTCGGCGTAGAGGGGTTGTTGGCAAATTGTGAAGATCCGCGTGAAATGAGTAGGCAGCGCGCCGCCGCCCAGCTGAGTTGGCTTGGCGACATTAGAAACGGCCGCGCGGACTCCTGCGGCAGTTAGCGTGAAGGAAGCGGCCGGAAGAGCCGGGCGTGTGCAGGATTTTGCGATGGGAGGGGGAACACAACATAAAATCTTACTGAAAATCAAGTACAGCGCCACGCAAATGCGCGCAATTTCTTGCACGGCATAAAGCAACATCGCATGTACTTGCTCTGTTTGACGTAGCGTGTCTACCTCGGATTGTTTATTGTCGTCATATGATCACGCACATCTTAGCACATAATAATTTACAAGGGGTGCTCCCCCGTAGGCTATTACGCGAATACAGCCCTGCATTGTCGGTACTGCGTCGGCTGCGTGCTTGCGTGGCAGCTGCAAAAGCGATGGGGGCGTGTCGGGCCTCACTTCTGATTAGCATTGCGCTAGGTAATGTCCGATTTATGAGGCATCGCGTGTACTTACACGATGTTCTTCTAAAGGTCTATTGGATTTTCGTTACAAGCATCGCGCATGCCATCAATTTGGTTAATCTATGCAGAGGATAGGCTGCTAAAGACACATTGCTATGCGGCGCGAGTGCCTGGCCGTTGCCGGCCTGGCACTGCATAGCTCGATATTGGCAGTGATGGCGGTCCGCAGCAGAGCCGAGCGCCGCCATCCAACAGCTCATCGGCTCAGCAGCTCAGCAGCAGCGCCAGTGCGCCTTTCGGTGCCCGCGTTGGGCACAAGCTGAGCGCGAGCCCGGAGCCGGCCGGTGACGCGGGCGCGCGGGAGGCTGGACGTTACCTCGACCGACCGTCGATATCGCTTCTTGAGGAAGTCGCCGATGGCGTTGAAGGGAGGCATGGTCCTCCAGCAGGTCTTGAGCTCACACGAGCCGGACACGCCGTGACACCGGCACTGCATCTTCATCAGGTTGCGGACCGCCTGCGGCAGTATCCGACAGCGTCAGATGTCGCTTAGGTCGGCCAGCGTCAGACGCCCGTCAGAGTCACGATCATTGGCTGGTGTGGATTAATGACCGATGGCCAGGACACCCGTGGAGTGGGTATGAGGCGACGTGCCAAGGTCTGTATTGTCATTGGGGCCTGACGTCGCACTCAGATGCAAAACCTATACAGGGTCACCTGCCTCTCACCCTGGGAAGAGTGGCAGGCAACGCGGGGTATCGAACCCCATACCTCTGGTTCCTCATACGTGCAGCTTAGTCACTACACTTCTAGCGCCCTGGCGCTCTAAGCCTAGGCTCGGCAATCAAAGCTCGATAATGGCAGCAGTAAGACATTCTGGCCTTTGTTTGGTGAGTGCTTTGATCACGGAAGGTAAACCAGCCAGCTTTCCACTGTGCGTGTTGCATGTGCCCCTGTTGCAGACGCATGCGAAAAAGGCCTTATATGCGTCTGAAATCATCGTCCTTGGATAATGAATGATTGTGTTCGGTTTTGGACGCAACCTACAGAAGATAGAACGAGGGCAACCGGCTAAATCATGACTAGCTGATGCCCAGCTCAGCCAGACACAGTCAAGCACAAATCCAAAGCACAAAACAATGATGAGTGTCCGCGATGCGGAAACATGACAGAAGTAGACGCGACGCCCGACCCTTCAAAGTGGAATCAATACACTTGTCTCAAAACAGCATGTCTGAAAACGGCCCGTTTCTTCTGACCACTTAACATGCACCTGCACTTGGCCCGTGTTAATCGGCCGTTCCTTGCCGAATCGAAGCCTCCCACGACAAAAATAGCATTCTCAAATCAAGCGAAGCCCAATCACCCTTCCACACCCGCCTGCCGCCAGCAGCTGGATCTCCCTGCCGTCCCGTCAGCGGGCGCCATCGGCCCCTTCACCCCTCTCGGCGGCGCCGGGGTCGGGCCGCGAGTCGGCGACCTCCGGCCATTGTGGGCCCATTTTCCACTCGGCGCGGCAGCGCTCCCCGCGGTCGGGCGGCGCGGCCGAGCGCGTTTGCGCCGCTGGCTCCCAATGCGCAGACGCATCGCGGCTAATGGACAAGTTTGGCGCGCTTCAGGGACGGCTGAATATCAACGGCTGGCTGAATGGGCCGCCGGCGCCGTCACTCAGAGGACCGCGATTATGATGGTAATGCGGCCGGACGAGGCGTGTCGCCACGCCGAGCAGGGCTACCGAGGAAAGCGGTCGCCATGGGGCTCCGGAGGATAGAGGTCACCATGGGGCTCCGGAGGAGAGAGGTCGCCATGGGGATCTGGAGGAGAGAGGTCGCCATGGGGCTCCGGAGGAAAGAGGTCGCCATGGGGATCTGGAGGAGAGAGGTCACCATGGGGCCCCGGAGGAGAGAGGTCACCATGGGGATCTGGAGGAGAGCGATCGCCATGGGGATCTGGAGGAGAGAGGTCGCCATGGGGCTCCGGAGGAGAGAGGTCGCCATGTGGCTCCGGAGGAGAGAGGTCACCATGGGGCTCTGGAGGAGGCAACAGAATCTCCAGAATCACACGGGACTCCAGATGAAACTAGCAATCGCGGAGCCGAGGGTGCCGATTACCAGGCGACTTCGCAGAGGACCTGTCACTATAGTGTGCCAGAGAGGGCTCGAGAGGGCTCCAGAGGGGGCGGCCAGTCGCCATGGAGCACCGGAGGTGGCCATGTCAGACACAGGTGCGGCGCATCTCGGCGTAGCGTGGCTGCCGAAGGCACCACGAGAGGGCGACTGATATTCAGTCTGCAGGCCAACTACCTCCGGAATGGAGAACTGGATGGAGTTCGGGCGTATGTTAGACTACTGTCTCATCTATCTGTGATTTCGCATAGAACTCCCACCCAGCACTATGTTCTAGACCGAAACGACGGAATTTCGTCTGTTAAATCTCCTTCAAGGCTGCATACGATCTGAGAATACATCTACGACCTCATTAATACCGAGAGTTTCCTTTGTATGCTATCCCAACAGTGTGCAGGGTGAGTAGCTGTCCCCATGACACCGGTCACGTCCCGGTCCGCGAAAGGCAATCAGTTGCGCAGTGACAGTGAACATCTCACCCAGACCCGGTCAGACATATGGTCACCGGTGCAGCGAGCGGTGAGGACCGGAATGGTAAGCGATAACCATCCTCGGCAGGGCTGATAATGACCAGATCTCTCCTGATAGTGACTAAGTGGCACACTGCTGGTACATGTTAGTGAGATGTTTTCCTGCCGCGAGTAGATAGCGTTCCATGGCGGCTGACTTGTGACCGATGGTGACCTCAGGTCTGACCAGTGAGACGCATTGTCGCGACCTGAGGCGACCGCTGCGGTGGCTGGCGGGGACCCCAGTCGTGCGGCGGGGCCACCTTCACCCCGCGAGTCCAATTAGCCGCCAGTGATAACACTTTACGTCGGCTTTATGCTCGGCAGTGGTTCATCGGCGTCTCGTGAGACCAGATGGTCTTATAGCCGGCATAAATCAACGGAGGGGGAGGGGATACGATGACTCTCCTGTTTCATCCCTCCGCTGCCGGGGGGAAGTGAACACAGCGATAAGAGCGCTGCAAGAAGTGGACGGATCCAGCGATTCGTCGCAGTCACCACATGCCAGTGCAAGACAGTTTCACACATCCGTATTATTAAATTGAATTGATTTGGACTATTAATTGATACTATACAATAACCTAGAAAAGTGAATCACGCTGTTAATTGTAATACTACTATTAAGTACTGAAATTAGTATCATATTATGAGTTTTATGTTATAAATTATCTGATAATAGGCATACTACTTTAGTATAATCTTGATTTATTATCAAAATTATTCTCGCATTGTTTGACTTATTACACTGACCACACTAATTTGGACACCACCCTGGAAATGTGGTAACGCCCTTCAGGAGTGCAAGGTACGGGTATGCGGAGCACGTGCTGGCTCCCACAGCGGACGTGAAGCCGGCGAGCGATCAGCACCCACCAGCCTGCCGGCCTCGTTGTTGTGGATGTTCATCAGCTTCCTCGGGTCATCCTTCCTGGCCCGGTCCGGCGCGTCCACGAATTGGCGCGCGAAGTTGATGCCGAACTTGACGTTGTCACTGCGGGGAGGAGGGGGGGGGGGGGGGCAAACGTGGCGTCAGGCAGGCGTCGAGACATCGACGTCGACTTGTGAGCTCGTCAGTGGTGACGCACCCTCCTCAAAGCTGATGATGAACTGAAATCGTCAAATGATTCCAAATCATATCTTGTATTTGATACCACCTGAGATCACCAAGAAAGGTCCAAAGCCCTTGTTTTTGACACAAACATTTTGGGTCTTGACATTTCAGCACTGCGTTTGCCAAAATAATCACTGTTCTGTAATGTCATCGTTTAATCAGCATCCCTTGATATATCAGAGGCCAAATGTACAGCGTAATAGCTCGCGACTCATAATTAATTACAAGTCTTGATAATCGCAGGTTGGGTGTAGATCAAGTAATTATCGTTGCATTTCCAGTGCGAGCGCTAAAGTACAAGTCTGAGTCTAGACGTGAGTTTTTTCCGGTGTACAAAGGTACGGTTCGTTCACCAACACGCATCAACGCAATGCGTAAAACGCAGGGGCCTGAGGAAGAGCTGTGGCAGCTCATGGCTCGGCAAACAGCGAAAACATGCAGCATATATACTCATCACCAATAACCTTGTCAAGAAGACGACATTACGAAAATATTTAAGCACGCTTCTAAACTTCACTCCTATCATTCTACACATGCCAGCGCAAAAGTCCATAGAAAAAGTTGCATACATCGTGCTTGGGGTGCTTTCTGTGCTTAGAGCCGCTCTGGCGTGTACACATTTGTCATTGAGGACACGGGCTCCTTCCAGGGCCGGCTGTAGGAGCAGGCACTAACCTGCAGCCGCCCCACTTCCAGCCCTGCGGCGTCGACCTGCCCTCGTAGGTGAGATCGCAGGTGCACTCGGTCAGGTTGCCCGAGCTGCAGGCCTGGGTCACGGCGTGCACGACCCCCGCCGAGGTCACGGCGTAGACGAACGCCGTCTCTTTGCTGCCTGCAGCACAGGTCACAGCACAGGTCACAGCCGGGGTCAGCAGGGAGAAGCGGGCGCCGTCTCTGGCGAGCTCAGGCAGGCCTCGCCACGGGTCGCGCGCGATCGGGTCGGTGTATGAGATAGTGAGCTACATCGCACACGCCAGCTTTTACGGAGGGCGGGCGGCAAAACAGGCCGAAGAATCGAGGGTATGTTCGACGCGCCAGGCGCGCAGGTACATCTGATCTGTCACATGCGCGGTGTATAAGAAGGTCGTGCTGATGACGGATCGCAGTCCGTCGTTCACCCAGTCGTGTTTAACACATGTAACCAACTTTTACTTGTAAGAGCAGCACTTTAACTTTAATCATCTTGCCTCTTCGCAATAAAACTCTTAATTCAGCTCATCTTTTATCACCGAGTTCTGCAAATGCCTACAGTTCTAGAGCGCAACACTTTTACTATGGACATCGCGAAGTCACCTTCATAATGTTAGCCAGAGGTGGCCCTAAGCGTTATGCACATTTTCGCTTCTACTATGTGCTCTCCATAAGCTGTGTGTATGTGTTTTTCCCGAGAGGTTCCCCCGCTGCAGCTGACTCCGACATTCGCCGCCATGGGTGGTCTGGCCAACAATTGGTTACGTGAGTAATGCCCCTAAGCTGCGGGATGGGTGATACGGCGACCATCGGACGCGCGTCGCGATTGAACCGCCCTCGCCGCATTCGTCACGCGGCCGATTCGGCGCGCCGTGTTCGTCACGGTGCTGGGGCCGGTCGTAAAGCCTGGTGGGGGATGCGGCAACCTGGCGACAGCGGCCAATGGCGCAGGCTGAGGCTGAGGAGGCTGCCCAGTCGGCAGTTGGGGCAGCCAGGCAGGAGCTCTGCATCTCTCTGGAACGGCCCTGGCCGCATTGGCTCATTTCACATTTAACCATAAGTCAAAAATATTCCCTAAAAGCAACCACGACGTGACACAAGATCTATCATTTCAAAAAATGTTCTTCCTCACCCTTTCAATCAGAAACTTCAGTTTTTGCGGATGATGGGGGGAGGGGTGAGCCAAGGACTGAAACCTATCTTTCCATATGTGCCTTTCGCGACGGATAAAGTCAGTTTATTTTGACGACTGACAGTTGCTACGTTTACGGTGTATACAATGTATTAAATAACACTTTATTTGAGCATTAACGTAGCCATACATGATCATCAAAAGGATACCCAACAAAAATGTGCTTTGTGGAATATCTTCCCTCGATTTTTGTTACATTCCAACATATGGAGCACAAAATGGAGGCCTAAGCCAATATTAAGGGAAGGGGCATTAACATGCCGGGCAGAGCCAGCACAGAGTAATGCAAATTGGCACCTCTGATATCAATGTAGTTCAAGGCGCTCCGGTTGTGGCTGCCACTGGTCAGGAACCTCCGAGGCAACGGCCCGGCACGCGATGTCCGGGTTATTTCGTCAGTCCGCTAAGTCAACGGTGCTGGGCGCATCTCAGGAGCGTCGCTCAAGGTGGCATCGTCCTCACGCATAGCTGGGTCTTGAGAAATTGGCAGTTCTATTTCTGGAGTAGCTGCTTGAGCGAAACGAAGGCTACCGACCATGGGTCGAAGCTCCGTCTCAATGGCGCGTAACGCACCTCTCCGATACCGACAGCTCAACAGCTTTGCAACGGCTGCGTCGCGCCCCGCCTACGTACACAGCTTTAGCGGCACTCGCTCAGCTCTGTGCCCGCTGGATTCGGAGCGATTGGCGAGAGCTCTGGCAGTCCCAGCAACGCTGCAGCTGGCCTGCGGCGCCAGGGCCAGACGGCCGTCCATTTACTGATAGCCGACCCCACTAAACGGCCATCATGGCACGATCGGCGTGAGGCGCGACCAAACAAGGCCGCGCGGGCTGGCGGCCAGACGACGTATGGCAGAGCAAGAATTTCAATTTACTGGCGCGAGAGAATCTAATGGAAACAAATTACGACGATCGCGATTGCCGCACCCTGGAACAATAAGACGCTGTACAGGACGATTATGGTTACTGCTAATTTAACGCCGGGTATGCCTCACCTTGGTCACGATCTGACACTTCAGCGTCATCATCGTTACCAGGTGAAACAAAGAGTACCCCTCCCATGTCGATGCCGGGTTTAACGGCGCCGTAACTCCGCCATCGGTCAGTTCGTCCCACCCTGCCCACCTTGAGCACCGCCAAATACAGGGCCGTCGGCGCAGGGCTCATCTCCCTCGCGCACCTAAATCGCCGGCCACCTCCCTCTCGCCAGCCAATCGGTCCGATCGCGGCACATTTCTGCAGAAAAGCTGCACGGCGCGGCTAAATCACGGTCGAAACAAGGGCCGGCCCGTCCGGCCGTGATCGCCGTTCACGTGGGCCGGCGAGGCCTGCCGTCCCCGGTTGACTCGCCGCGCGGCCGCCCCGCCCCACGATACCATCACCCGGCAGCGGCCGTCGCACTAATTCACTAATGAGCGGGTTGGTGCGCCGATTTCGCCCCCGGCGCAGTCCCGCGCCACTATAACCGTCGCCGTCATGACCGATGTCCGCCGGGCGGCGCGCCGCGGCCGGCGGCGGCTGGCTCATGACGGTCGTGTGGGGTCCGGGCCGCCGCGCCGGTGAGAAAACCCGTCCCACTAAAACCCATAACGCGGCGTAATGCCAGACTCGGGTGGCGTAATCGCAGGGGTGTAGCTCTGGTTTATCACCGCCGCAGCGGTAATTTATTAACGCTATTGAAGGTGTTATCAAAACTGGCCATACATTTAAATGAGCAATGATGCAGCACTGAGGTAGCAGTTAGGGCGTGAGGGTAAAAACAGGGTAGTTTTTGCCAGCCAAGAGATTCTTTCATCATCTGGGCAATTGCCTCAATGACCTAACGTTTTTAGCGCTTCATGGGCTTTCGTCGGTTTTCGCTTTCAACATGATGCATCACACCTTTGCCCCGCAACGTCGTGCCTGACCGACGACAGTTCAGAGCATCTGGCAAGAAACGTGATGCAAGAAGCTCTGGAAGAAATCTTCATCTGTTTTCGCAATATGCAGTTACCTTTTGCCAACAGTTCACTCCAACGTTAACTCGTAAGGGCGTCAGTTATGACAGAGCCGAGCTACAAACACGGCGTGATGAGTCGTAACGTACAAATGGCCATCATCGCTGAAATACTCCTATGTGCATAACAACCTGCAAACAGAAGCAGAACTTGTGCTTCAAACGGTACTTAAGTGGCGCTCAAGCCTCCCGGCGGTGCGCCGACATGGGCTCGGCCGCCGCGCTCCGATCCAGTTCCCTGGAGCGGACCACCCGCCGTCGCCGCGGCGGTCCCGTTCTCACGCCGTCCTCCCTAACCGCTGACCGACTCCCGGACCAGGCGGCGCCCGGCCGCCGGCCGCGCCGCCCGGGCCGCGACCGGCGGCGGCCCCGGAGAACACCGTCACCGAAAAACGGCCGCACAACTCGGCCGCCGCCGCCGACACGGCCGCCCGTCCGCTCGCGTTACGCTAACGGCCGGTCGAGATCGCGTCCGATCGCCGTGTCTGTTCTCAATTAGCCGGCAGACCGGCGATCGTCGCCTGTCTCGATGGTCAAATCACGGCCAATTAAACCGACCTGCGCGGGCGTCGGTGCGGACGGGTGACGGCGGTGACGTCACAGCCCGCGCGGCGCGGGAGAGAGCGCCGGCCGCGGTGACGCCGCGTTTTTGTCGTCGGCCGTTGCGTTCAGGTCGAAGCGATGCTAGGAAACCGTCGATGAAACTGATAACGGCAGACAGGCATGATATGACCGCGAGCTGTGGTCGCCGTTTCTTGCGGCGAAACAGGCGGCGGTCGACAGCGGCACAACTGACCCGAAGCCACACGCCCGTGGTGTGTTTCACAACGAACGCTCGACAAAAACACCGGTGCGCGATGTATCGCATTTAAACACGAATAAGACAGCCAAGAACGCTTGTACAGCGCACGCAAGTCACGCAACCGGCATAACATTCGAGCAAATATCTACATTGCTGACCTGCAGTCTACCAGTCTTTAAAACGGCGAACAATGCTGAATAGCTATGCGCCAGTAATGGGGCAACGGGTCATTGATTACGCCATTTTGCGGGGAAAAACTGTCCATGGCGAAGATCTGAAGACCACCATGAAGGAGAACCGAGATGAGACCTGAAGCGCACCGGGACTCACGGCCGCAACAAATTTCCATGTCAGCCAAATGACTTCTGATGCATCGACACTCGGCAGCATCCATGCTGCATCTCATCACGAGCCTGTCACAGGGCAGAGTACCTCCGCCTGCGGGAGGCGCAAGCGGCCCGGCAAGGGCGTGCACGCGCGGCGGAGGCTCACCTGTGGCCCCCATCAACGGGCGTCACCAGCGGACCGGCCCTCGCGGCCCGCGGCCGCCCTCAGACACCGACAAAAACGGCGGGCGCTGTTTATGGCCCGGGGCGCTGACGCCTGAGGCGGCGCCGGCGGCGAACCTCCGGCGCCAGCCCCCACCGCTGACGGACCGTGCCCGATGTTTGGTCGCCGTGTTGACAGGCGGGGAGGGAAGGGGGGGGGGGGGGCGGCACGTGTGGGAGGCAGGGGTATTGTTCTGGGAACAGGGGCGGGTCGAGGGCGGGGTGGTGACAGGGTGGTATGTTAAGCGGAGTTTATGCGGTGTTGAGCCCGTGAGCGATATAGATCAATGTTGGCGAATGTGTTAGTGCGGCCCGAATCGTTACTTAAACCGCACTGATGCAGCCTAAGGACGGCAATATTGTTTTAACTTGGTGTTTTAACTGCTTCCAAAGGTAAGGTTGATAAAACTATCATAGCTTTGGTGCATAAATTTGAAATCGCCTTGAAAATCGTTGTGCGCTTGCGTTTTCTTCAGCTTTTGTGCCGCCTGCCAAATCCTTGCCTTGAAATTTTGCGCATGAAACCATGATGACAGAATTTTTGTAGCCATTTTCTTGCGAACACAAAAGTGCGTAGCCAGCTCCCTATCGTTTAATCTGGGTGGGTCCATTACCTGGTAACATATATATTTGTGGGAAAGACGTCCCCTGTCAAATCCCAGACACTTTTTGATTTATCGAATGCGCTCATCTGGGCCATCTATTGTTTCATCCTAATCGAAAATCACCGTGAGTGCCTCTCAAGGCTCACGTTCTTGTATCGGGGCAGCGGTCAAGGCATTCGACGCGGCATGACACCGAAATCGATCGCCTCAATTAACCTCGCCCCAGGAACGCGACCAAGTGAAGCAATTAGCCGCAATAGGCGTCAGGGAAGATCCATCCGCGTCTCGGCCGCAGCATCCGCAACAACAGCGGGGCCGGGGAGAGCCGGCCAGCGCGAGCCCCGCTCCCGACAGCGGCGCGCGGCGCTCTCGACCAGCGGGGTAAGGGTGGTGCGCCTGGCAGCGGCGCCAACGCCCGCCGTGCCGGGAAACTTGCAAAACAGATCATTACCATCGCGTTATGTAGATCCGATGGTTTTCTAATAGGTGCTCGCCGGGTCGGTCGGCCGACGTGTTGGCCGCCGGTAATCAATTAAAGTTTTATTAGCGTCGGCGCGATTCCCTGCGCCGGGCCCGCCCGCAGTAAACAAACATGGCCGCCCGCGGAGGGCCAGCGGCCCGCCGGCACCCCGCTCACCCGCCGCACCGCCGCACCGCCCGCGGAGGGTGCGAGGCCGAGACGGATATCCGCACAAGGTGCTTCGCGTGGCTGCTGCGAACATGAGCCACAGGGAGTCGTAACGGAAAGGTTGAGGGAACTGGGCCTCTAACCAGAAGGTTTGGCGATCGACTTTCCTACAACGAGCAGGCTGTCCAGATTTGAACGGTAAAGGATGTTTACCAACACAGATCCCAAAAAATAAAGGCTTGCCATTTTTGCATCTTCTCTGCACCACAACGCTTTGGAAAAGAGCAATGGAATTTTAATTTCTCACGTGCCATAGCTGCGCGCTTGCCTCCCATAATGCCTGTGTTAAAGCCAAAACGTTGCATGATTATGACAGCATATAGACCGAATTTCTAGCAAGAGAACCTACAGAATCAACAAAGCATGCGGAAACTTCCCATGTATTCAAATCGATTTTTGGGTAGGCCGTTCGGCAACAGCAATTTGTTTGAATGATATTCGTGAAAGAGGCTTATTTCATTGTTGCTCTTTACAGAATGGTTTGGCCAAATTCATCACTTAGGCAAACGGTAAAATATAGATTAATGGATTGTCTAGAGGTGGCAAGCTCACAGATAAATGGACTTTATGAACCTGTTGCAGAAATATTTTGCAAAGCCCAGCAAAATGTTGTATAAACGGCTAATTGCGCTTCACAAAATGACTGGGGCTGTGTTCGTTGGCGCCGAGGGGAATGACGTGGCCCAGCATCTACCGTGACCGACATCCTCTCGCACCCAGACACACAAACAGCGCCTCCCACGGCCCGTCAGAGATATGACAGGCCAGCAGGCGGACCACTAAGTGCGGCAATGAGGAAACACCTCCGAGGCCGAGTCCGACGTCGGGCCGACAGGTGCACTCGGAGGGGTCGAACCCGAGGCTTTGTCTGATCACAACACGACGCGAGCCCCGGGTGGTCCAGCCCCCCCCCCCCCCCTCCGGGGGGAGGGGTACCGTCGGGTCAGGCCGGGAGTATACGCGGGGCCGACCCGACCTCCTGAGATTGGCAGCGGGAGGGGCGGGGGGGGGGGTCCCACAAGCCCCCCCCCCTCAGGGGGAGGGGCACCGTCGGGTCAGGTCGGGAGTGTACGCGGGGCCGACCCGACCTCCGGAGATTGGCAGCGGGAGAGGCGGGAGGGGGGAGGGGCTCCCACGCGAGCCGCGCGCAGCACGGGGTAGATCAGCTGTCTCGCAGCTCTGACGTGATTCGATACACGGCCAGAGCACTGTCTTGCTAGCCGGGGAGCATGGCTGAAGGGGTCATGGCCAGGGCATCTTGGTGTTGTGTAACGCATCACACTGAAGTCGGCCGTGTTGTGAATTCAGCTTTGAATTTATAATTGACGTCAAATGTTCACCATGGACTGACTCCTCGCCTATTCATATCAGTAACACATGTGTCATATCGAGATGCCAGATAAAAGTGCCCTTGACGGGAAAGAACCTAGACGGCGTCAGCAGATAACCAGCCAGCCAACGTCTTGAATGGCTCGACTTTGAAGGAGCACTGCTGGAAGATGATAAGGAATTTGGTGAGACAAAGTTGCCTAAGTGATCGTCCAGCTGGGGCGAAATGTTGAAATTTAGCTGATTTAACTCCGAGCAACTGGTACGGGCGTTGTTATACACGTCACACCCCCACCATCCAACCACGCATAGGTTATAAATAAGGAGGGTTGGAATTAGGCAATGCATACAAAACGTTTGGTCGTGTACCATGAAAGACCATGAGCCGTGCCCTGCAGCCGTCAAATGAAACCTTGCTGCAGTGACTAGCGGCCAGCAAATCTGAGCTTCAAGTGGCGTTGGCTGCCCACTGCTCAGCTCTGATTTTAGCACACTAACCGGAACTGGCGCCGCCCGTCAGGTAAAGGGGAATGCGATGAGTTTGCGCGCGCCCCTTTCGTGAGAGATCATATGGCGACTATGAGGGACGATGATGGGATGATGGAGGGAGTGAGGACGGGGCAGTGGGGGAAGGTACATACATACAGAGGCAAACAGAGGAGAAAAGGTGCAGGACGGGCGGGAGCGATGGGAAAAAGAGAAGAGAGAGAGAGAGAGAGAGAGAGAGAGAGAGAGAGAGAGAGAGAGAGAGAGAGAGAGAGAGAGAGAGAGAGAGAGAGAGAGAGAGAGAGAGAGAGAGAGAGAGAGAGAGAGAGAGAGAGAGAGAGAGAGAGAGAGAGAGAGAGAGAGAGAGAGAGAGAGAGAGAGAGAGAGAGAGAGAGAGAGAGAGAGAGAGAGAGAGAGAGAGAGAGAGAGAGAGAGGAGAGAGAGAGAGAGAGAGAGAGAGAGAGAGAGAGAGAGAGAGAGAGAGAGAGAGAGAGAGAGAGAGAGAGAGAGAGAGAGAGAGAGAGAGAGAGAGAGAGAGAGAGAGAGAGAGAGAGAGAGAGAGAGAGAGAGAGAGAGAGAGAGAGAGAGAGAGAGAGAGAGAGAGAGAGAGAAGGTGAGAGGGAGAGGATTTGGTTAAAAGGCAGATGTGATTTCCATACAACCAAGCTTTTATGGCACTGGGCCACATTTCACTGCACACTGTGCTCATTGCAATGGAGCTGACTAAAGTAAATTTATATGACAGCCAGCCGTGGCTGTAGATTTGAGGCAACTGTAGATTTGAGGCAAATGTTCATCTGCATGCCTGAACACGCCCATGGTGGAAACACGAGGGCTGAGGGCCGAAGGGTCCTGCGCCCCGTGCCCGGACCCCGGGCCATGACCTACCTCGCTGCAGCGTGTACTGGAACACGTTTTGCTCGGTGTCGGTGGAGGTGGTACAGTTCCAGCGCTCGTTGCGGAACTGCCACTGACACTCCTGGATGCCCTTGCGCGCGCCGCTCGACACGGACGGTATGGCGTTCGGGTGAATTTGGCACACCTACGGCAACACAAACGCGCTCATTTGCATGTATGTGGGGGCCGGCACGACGGTCGGCGAGCGCTGTGACACTGGGAGGGGGGGGGGATTTGTCACGGTTCGGTGATCGAGTGACGAATGGTCTGGGAGTGCCTGGCGCAGGCGGCCGTAAACACACAAAGAACAACAACTACCTGGAACGCCTCTGCATTGCAAGCAAGACATCGATCCTGAATAATTGAACACCAGTCAATTACGCAAGCGGTCCGTTGCGCTGTCACGTGCGTGCGGTTACACTGGACAACAACATGTTTGCACGTGGGAGGACCTTAGAATGCTCTCTCCGTTTGCTATTGGTTTCACAGAGCGTGTATTTGCGTACTGGCACCACCGTTTTGGGTGAATCGATTGCACTAGGCCGGAAAGACGCATTTCCATCTTAATCTGAACGTGATGACATACAACTCAACACTAATGAGTCGCATTCCTTGTGGCTGCCTATGTGTGACCATGTGACAGATAACAAGAGAGCCTTTAATTACCCACGAGAGATTGGACATCGTGTCAGTCTGTGCAGTGATATGTGAGATGTGTGAGCGCAGAAGAGTCTGGCAGGTACAGGGCGGTGTGTCCGTGTGTCTCCTTATGAAGGGAAGTCAGGCAAGTGTTGCGAAAGAAGGACGCTTGTGTGAGCGTGTGAGATGGTGTGACACAATAATGTATCATCTATGTATGTAGAGGTTAACTGTGTGAAACTGGACGCAGCAAGGGCTTACTGTCTCCCTCTACCTGACCAGTGACCACACCAGAGCTTCGTTTGAAGAAAAACACGAACCAACACATTTGTTGACTAAGCAGTGCTGGCCAACGGGCGGAAACATATTAACTAAACGTAACTTTGCAGCTCGCCAGCTTTCGCTGGGTCAACGGCACGCAAGCACGTTAAGCACGATTGTGACTTCCGAGTGACGTGTCGGCGCTGCAGATAGTGAAGGCGGTGTAGTGCATCTAGTGTATACACTGTGCAGTACAGTGCAGATAGTGTAGGCAATGTATCTCGTGTAGCGCAGTGAAGCGGGGGTTCTGCGGAGGCCCGTATCTGCGTTTTTTGAGCTGGACCCAGTTCGTCTCAGCTCGAGCGCAGTGTCGAGCGCAGTGAGTGTCGAGCGCAGCCCGAGCGCAGTGTCAAGCGCAGCCCGAGCGCAGTGTCGAGCGCAGTGTCGAGCGCAGTGAGTGCCGAGCGCAGCCCGAGCGCAGTGTCGAGCCTAGTGAGTGTCGAGCGCAGCCCGAGCGCAGTGTCAAGCGCAGCCCGAGCGCAGTGTCGAGCGCAGTGTCGAGCGCAGTGAGTGTCGAGCGCAGCCCGAGCGCAGTGTCGAGCCCAGTGAGTGTCGAGCGCAGCCCGGGCGCAGTGTCGAGCGCAGTGAATGTCGAGCGCAGCCCGAGCGCAGTGTCAAGCGCAGTGTCGAGCGCAGCCCGAACGCAGTGTCGAGCGCAGCCCGAGCGCAGTGTCGAGCGCAGTGTCGACCCACCTCGATTTGGCGCGCCACCAGGCCGGGCAGGGCGGCGCAGATGGAGCGGGCGTGGTCCTCGGGTGTGGCCGAGTACGGCTGGTCGGAGGACATTTGCGGCCCGTGGTGGCCCGAGCCCAGCAGGCCCAGGTACCTGCCGGACACAACAGCGCGCCGTCAACACACGGACGCCGACGCACAGCGAAGTGGGCTGACGAAGGGACGAAGGGCCCTTTAAACAAAGACAAGTATGATGTCAACTCTCGACGCAGGGTAAGAGTGAAATGGTGAATAAATATAAGGATATGACAAAGACGAGGACTACGCTTTAGGTAAAGGCTTTGGGTCCAGGAGTAGTCGGATACATTCCCTGGGGTTTTGCCGACATCGGTTCTGCGATAAGTTTCACGGAAAGTCTTATGCTCCGTTTGGAGCGACAGCAGCCAGTAAACTGACGCGCCGTCGGTATGGCACTATCGCGGATAAGGTGGGCACTGAACCTCAACATCTCTCAAACGCATCTGGTTCCGACGACCAGCTAAACATAACAGACACCGAAATCCCAGATTAGACGCCTTTCATGACGGGCACTATCAGAGCATGTCGAGTCAACAGGAGATTTCAATTACAGATATCGCTGCGTCGCTTCTGATCTTTTGTGTGGGCCTTGGATTAAGGCTTAGGGTCCATTTGCTACGCATGGCTTTCGCTAAGTTGACGTTCTCGAATAGCTAAGCACGCTGTACGTGCTATACGCGGCCAAAGTAGCGCAAACGCGACACCGCCGGAGGAGGCGAGGTCGCGCCTTTCGAAGTCATTGCGCGCACGCCTCCGGGCGGGACCGGGCTTCCCCAGCGCACAGCGGGCCCCGTCCGATACCCAAATAAGCGCCCGATGTCGGGCCGATAACGCCGCCCCAGCCACGCACGGCCGGAAAACGGCGGCTATATCTGGACCGCGCGGCGCGGGCGGCGACTCCGACGCCTCCGCCGGCCGGACGATAACACCGGCCGCGCGCCGGCGGAGCGCTGCCGTTCTCAGCACACACGCGCGCGCAAACACGCTAGAGCGGACGGCGGAGCCGGTCAAAAGCTGAAGCCGCGTTCTCGGGCCCGGGCCATCACGCGCCGCCGACCGCAGACAACGGCCGCCGAGTCGGTCGTGCCGCGTGACGGCGTGACAGCGTGACCCAGCGCGGCGTGACCCCCTTGCGCGCGCGCGGCGCGGCGGATCGCGCAGCCAGGCTGCGGAGACGCGTGATCGCAGACAGACAGACAGGCAGACAGACAGGCAGGCAGACAGCCGAGCGGTGTGATGACTTCAGCCGGCTGCTGCCCCGGGACGCAGAGAAACGAGGCGACCGCGGCCGCTGAAGGGCCATCGTGTTCCGCCATTGTTGTCCCGGCTCAGCGCGCACGCCCAGCGATCCCGGTCGGCTACTGGGCACGGCCTGACCGGCGCACGCCGCTCACGAGCGCGCGACCGATGAGGACGAATGGACGGAACGCGACGTTTTTCAGTCCTGCTGCACGTGAGGCGGGCGCGCGAGACGGCTCGATCGAGAAGGTCGCCAGTGTGTACCGAGTTCAGAGCCTGCCGGTCGTATATCTCTGCTGACGCACTGACGCCTTTGTGACTCCGCTCGGGTCGGCAGAAGCGAGATAATTTATCACCGCTGCGCGGACGGCCGCGGGGTTTTGCAGGTCCTGTTTCGATCCTGCACGGACAGGAGATGGGGCAGATAAACACACACGGCGCCCGCTGCCCCATGCGAGAGCGGCAGCTGACTGCGTTTTGCTACCGCGGCGAGCCGAACCATTGGCAGACAATGCACGGAGCGCGGCCGCTCGCTGGAATATTGAGATGCCGCGGCTTACGCAAGTGTGTCCCGCACTGACCGCTGCGACACATGCCAGCGGTGCTGACGGGCTCCATCGCTAGCGCAGCTCTCAGCGGCCTGCTCGGTGTGTCAGACACTCCTACGATTGGCTATTCCATTACGGGAGGACCCAGCGGCGATCCGTCTCGATGGCTATCTTTCGCTGATGTCATCAGCAGTCAGTTTTGCCTGACACGTATGCCCACATATCAGTTTTGTCACCTAAGCTGGCAGGCAGGCCACAACAACGCGTATAAAAACACAGAGAAAGTAACCGCCCAGCCGCCGCCACATGAAGGGCCGCGGTCGGCCAACATGCTAGTGGCGAGCGCCACCAGGAGCTAGTACGCGCTGAAGTTAGGGTACTATAGGTAGTTCCCTTGGCTATCACTCAAGTATAAATGCCACCACTCGGGAGCACTGATAGCGAGCCCTGAATATTTTGGGGAATTCGTAGTTTCGCGCACCTCTAACTCTTAACTGGTATGCACAGGGAGCTTGATCTGAAGGCGTTTTGAATATTTACCTTTCTTTTTTAACCTGTTACATATAACTACCTGACGACGAATCAATAAGCAGTTCCAAAAGGTTATGTAGAAGGAAAAACATTTCCTTTTACATTCATACACATATAAAATTTGAAAACACGCATTTCACGAACACAAAATCATCCACAAGAAATCCCATAGATACTGATATCAAGAGCATCATTTAAATTTAGCACACCATAGGCTAGCATTGGACTTAGCCTATGGAGAGCTCCCCGGGCCCTCACAGTGTGCTGTGAGCCGTACACCATAGTCCGAACCGCTCGCACGACAGAACACCAATGGGACAAGAATAAACTTTCCTAGTCTGGATTTGCTGGCATTTCGCTTTTTACCTTAGAAGTTACTGTTACGATACTTTTAATGAGTGTGTGTAAAATTCCGCATGAAGGTCGACCACGTACAGTTGGAGGCGAGGGGTCGCGAACCACAGGGTTGCGGATTGAATGTTTACAAATGTAGCTGTCTGAAACTACAACGTCTTGGTGGATCTTGACCATTGGTGAGCTGTGGTCAGGAGCCACAAGCGTCTGCCGCCGAACTGATAACACGGTAACCCAATCCCCATTACTCTCTATTTGCATGGTGTAAATAACATGGCTAGACCTGAGTTGCAGACATCTGCAGCTCACCCAAACAAGGCCAGGACACTGATGCTGCTCCAATCATCCAGGCAATCATCATGGACACGGAGACACGGGCCCGGCCCCGGTTACGGCAATGCAAGTCAAGGCCTTAATGAATACGTGATATATCGAGAGCCACGATACACATATCAACACGACGAGCCAACTAGTCAGATGGCCATGCCCAGCCGGCGGGGTGCACAGGGCGCAGACGGCTCGAACAAATGCGCCACTTTATTGTTCTCTTTACATCAGAAGATCTTTCCGTAGCTACTGAACACGCGCACATTTCCCTCACACGAATATGGGCAACGGATTTCGGTGACATCATTCCCCAAAAGTTTCCCGCCCCCCCTCCGCCTCCCACTTCCGTGGCGCTGGCTCGTGCTCGGCACCCCCCCCCCCCGCCATGACATCCCCCCCCCCGCGTGTCCCTGACCGCGACAGCGGCGCGGGGCCGTCGCCATGACAAACTCACGGTGTCGGAGTCGGGCGGCGGGCGGCGCCCGGTCCCCACTGACATGTGGCGACGCTGATCCCGCGTCCAGGCCTATTAGTCTATGCCGGCGCCGCTGGCCTGGCCGGCCGGCCGCGCCAACCCTTCTCGGCGGCTGCCGATCCCGGCGCATTCGGACGCGGGTCACGTTGCTGGTCAATACAGCACCCAGCTGGGAAGGCGAGCCACGTGCCACGCGGGACAGGAGCCGTCATAACCCTGTCGACTCTCTCGCTCCCCCCTCCTCCCCTCTCTCTCCCTCTCACTACATTTCCATTGTCCTCTTCCTCTTGCTCTCCCTCCTTCCCTGCCTCCCTCTCTCTCTCTCTCTCTCTCTCTCTCTCTCTCTCTCTCTCTCTCTCTCTCTCTCTCTCTCTCTCTCTCTCTCTCTCTCTCTCTCTCTCTCTCTCTCTCTCTCTCTCTCTCTCTCTCTCTCTCTCTCTCTCTTTCTCTCCCTCTTTCTCTCTCGCTCTCGCTCTCTTTCCCTCTCTCTCTGTCATCTTGCTTTTCCCTCTCACTCCCTTCTGCCTTTCTGTCTAGCCGACTTTCCTATATGCCTCTCTTCCCCTCTCCCTGCCATCTTCATCGCTTAGCAACAGGCGGTCATGCCATTACAAGTTTCAATCGTCACACATTGTCTATCCTCTCCCACCTTTCCTCATATGTTCACACCGCCTCTCTCGCGCTCCGCGCCGCTCCGCACTCCGCGGTGTTGCCGTGCTGTGCGCCCGTGCGAGTTCCGGGTGACGTCGACGCCCGGGCCGCGCCTCGGACGCCGGCTGTATCGGGTGTCGTCGGCCGCGATCGGACCCCTGATTAATGCGGATGTCGCCAATCGAGGCGATCGAGAGCGCGGCCCGCCGGCGCACGCACGCACCCGCTTCCGGGCCGTGGGGCTGGTGAGGACGACTCTCAGGCCAGGCGCAGCGCAGAGGCACAGCAGCAGCGGCCGTGCGGTGGGTGCGGCGTGTAGACGCGGTTGGTCCGGTGGAGTGGTGTAATTGGGGGAAAGCGAGAGGGAACTCCATTGTTAAGCATTGCGCACAGGGCTGGTACGTAATGAACGAAACGTATGTCGTCAACGCGCTCTATACAAATCCGGACGCGCTTTCACAACAAAAAAAATGGAAGATTTAGGCGCAGGAGGCCATTTACAACCGTCTTCTACAGAGACTTAATGGGTGGCTGAAGGGATCTTCTACTGGTTCTCACGTATTTTTCGGGTAAAATTATGTCTAAACTATGTTCCTTGAAAGATTCTCTGGTATCCCATCAGAGTGGATTCAGCCTAAGATTGCGAGCTATTAGTCAAGGGATCATGGTCGGTCGTTGAGGAATTCACAGTCGGATTATCAACAGCTGCGAAGCTCACTACGGAGGCAACTTCTGGAATTCCACTTTCTCCTGGCATTTCAACGACTGATCGTCTGTGAAGTGTCCTTGCGGTGAAGACCGTCATTCATACGTGTCCTGGGTGGTGATGTCTGACACACCTAAGTGACCCGAACCGGTACGCCACGGCCGGTCCTGCGTGACCGGTCACGCTTTTTACGGAGCTGTATTCTTGCAACTACCTACTGTACCGCTTTTCAGTTTTCGGAAATA